AACGTCCATGAGGACGTCAATCTAGACGTTCAGGAAACTTCGTATGAGAACTTCTAATCGAGGCGATCGACTTATTGTCAGTTTATCGCTAAGAAACCGCCGTTTGCCAGCTTTCAAATTTATAATGAATTGCACCTAGTGAACGTATGTATATACATATTAACTAACGGACTATAAGAAGAAGACCAAATGAAGCAAATCTTATCTCAAAAAAGATTGCTTCGGGATCAGAACGAAAGTTTACAGAATAAAACATAATATATTTTATTCTGTAAACTTTGCCAGAACTTACTAGATCTGTTGACTAGGACCAAAAGCAAAAACATGGTCTTAATGTAAAAATTACGAAAACATGTGAGCCTCAAAGTAATACATTTGAACCTTAAGGTACCTCCACCAAATAAATAGAACAGCTAAGATCAAGTGATAAGGATTTGGCAAGACTCACACATCAGATTTCCCTAACGGACTATAAACCTTTTCAACGCGGATTGCTACATGCAAAACACAACTTTCTATTATATATAAATTAAAATTAAAGGTTAGAATGATATAGATCCGGCAAAACTCTGGAACCTGGATATATGTCCACAAAGCTTGATGTAACTCCGGAACCAACTCTTTTAAAATATCGGATCTACCTATCTCTAGTAGAGTATTTTAGCGCTGTCTGAGAAGATGGCCACTGAACGGTGTGTTCTTTGAGGCCTTATTATTTCTTCCTCGCAATAATGGTTTGCGATTATTTCCGGCTAGAAAGTTGTGATATCCTTGGGTAGGCTTACGGGGAAAGCTCTTCCTTGTTTCGACCATACTATTCCAGCTCCCATTCGCCTTCCGACGTACTTGAGCCGTCTGTATATCAGGTTGCCTCAACTTGGATGGGCACAAGTGATGGTAAATCGACAGGCTGGTTATGATTAGGCTATGGTTCACACATATCTTAGCAGACTATAGGACAAAGGTACCTGTAATGAGATAAGTGTGGTAACATTATAAATAGAATGTTTTTGTTTTTATTATCCTATAAATAATGCCCAGTGACGTCTTTGTGCGTAAAAAGAAAACATCCAGTAAACCTGTTTCAAGATGACTTTTCATGTTTATTGTCATTGCGGGGGAATTTTAAAAAACTAATTTAGTTTTTGTTGACTTAGTCGCAGATAATTATAAAATATAATTAAATTTAACTGTTGTTTTAACATCTTAATTTATGTATCTGTAAATCAGAGTCTGTAGTTAATTTGTTCAATTGAAATATTAACTATTAAATTGATATATTTTCTCTATAATATAACTTAATACTTCATTCAAGTAAGAAGTACGAAATTTTATTGCTGTAAACTTTTACTTATTAGAATCTTTTATTGTTATGGGTTCTAACCTTGTCTAAAAGTCCGTCTACACGTAACGTTTTACCTGTCAGTCTTACTTGTTCAGTCAAGACGTACCAAGTAAAACTTCGTGTGTTTAGGTCCTCAACAGCACACTTATAAATTAGTGTTTATTATTATTATTTAGTCAGTGTCATTGAAAAGTCATATTATTATGGTTTATTTAAATTTACTCTAGTAGAGATGGTTTTAAGTTATAAAGTATCGGCTATTGCTGTCATATACTGCTGACTATATTTAATTGATCATGGTAGAGATTACAACATCTGGACTTAAAACCATATCTGCTAGAGTAACTCCCAACACAGACAATAATAATATGACATAAATCATAAATGCTATTTTATAGGTCTGTTGATCAGGACCAAAAGCAAATTCATGGTTTTAATATAAAAAATACGAAAAAATGACGACTTCTTCAAAAAGCAAATGTCTCCTAAAAATAAAGCTATTGAGATGAATCAAAAAACAAACTATCGAGAAAAGATACACCTAGATGATAAACTTATTTTTAAATTACTTGCTTTGTTAACTTAATGCACAGGGTGTTTCAAACTTTCACCAAAATATCAAGATTTTATTTTCCCTCGTATAATTTTAATTTTTTATTTAGAAGGCGGTACTAAAAAGTCAGATAGTTTAGCTACAAATTGCTTAAAAATAAACAAAATCAGTCCACTAGAACACAATATAATACTTTAAAATACATGAAATTTTTAAGGTTCCCGTTTTTCGGACCGGTGTGACTTAATTACAAAAACAACCCATAGCATTTAAAACAATTTAAATAAACTTTTAAAATATGAAACTGCCTTTACTTTGAAAAAAATATATTTTTTAACAAATCAAATTTACAGATCTTAAATCCGTTTATTGTATGCTATGCGGTCAAACATGGTTCTTATTAGTATAGCTGTGTCAATATGCATTGTTGACTCGTTTAAACATTTATTTTTAGATGCATATGAGATTTGAACCATATAAGACTATAATACGGATTCAAGATTCACTGTAATTGAACTAACAGAGAAAAAAAATCAATTATAGCAGCAGAATGTATAACTATATAAAATTTAATTACGGGTGCGTCTCAAAAGTGGCTCACCCCTATACCTTTTTTATTTTTTTATTAAAAAAAACGAGATTTGATATGTTAGTATATGACATAAATTAGGATTGATTGACATATCCAATTGTTTTCGGTCACTTCCTATTCGCCTTCCGGCTTCACCGGAAATGACTACGACTTTTCATTTTTAAATGGCACCCTCGCTATTTTTTTTTTGCTTTATTCGATAGAAAATAACACTCTGGATAGAATGACATATCATTTGTCAACTTTTGACATTTTCGCATATGATTTATTTCAAATTATAACTTGCGGTTCGTAACGAAAATATGACTCAAAATACTGAGTCTAAGTGTGTGATATCAAATTATTCTTAAAAAATACGTTTTCCAAATATGCTAATGAGCCACCCTTGTTTCATTTGAAAAAATTGAGATATGATTATAAATACGATTTGAGAATTTTCTAACTGGCCAGGACAAGACACTAAAAACATTAGATGATCAAATATATTTTTCCAAGTCTCCATGATTAAGAATTAGTGTTTTTAACATAGCCATGGCACTCTAGATTGAATTTTAAAATACAATTTTTTATTAAGCGAGAATGTCAAAAGTTGACATATGATATGTCATTCTATTCAGAATGTCATTTTCTATCGAATAAAGTAAAAAAGGTGCCCGGGGCGTAGAGGTACAGGCTCTCGTCTACCAATCTCAAGGTAGTGGATTCGATTCCCACACCCGGTATTGCATCAGCCGACTATTTTTATTAAAATAAAAACAGTTTGGGTACCTAGGTCGACTCAGCCTTAACTGAATACTTGGGATTCACAATCCTGAGGCTCTGCCTGAGGTAATAATGGAGCGGTTGGAGTGTAGTGCTAGCCACATTACCTTCCTTGTATACCGAACGGCTCTAGTATGGCAAGCTGTACTTTGCTACTCCCAAGGCGTTAAAAAATGTATATTAAATAATTACTAGCTTTAAACGGCAATAGCGTATTTAATTTAAATGGAACACCCTATATATTTTGCGTGAATCAGATGCACAATGTAATTGTTTATCAAATTGTATTATACCATTTTTTACCTATCTCTTCAAGTTTTCGTAGAAAATGCATTTTCTTATAATTTAGACCTCATTTATCACTATACCCATGGAATATTGACATTTTAGATTATTTTTAAAGATGTAACAAATTTTCCAAGAGTACAGATACTAATATTGTCGATATAGCTCGCTTATTTCATAAAAAAAATTAAAAAACTGTTTAAATATTTTTGTTAAAAAGGACCAATTAATATGATCCCAGTATTCAGACTACATTAATTGACTGTTTATGTTGATTAATAATAATTGCTCCAAATACTAAAAAACTGAATTTTGTGTGTGTATTAGACAGTGTGGTAAAAAGTAACGCCTTATAAATTTTATTTCATTTTTTGACGAATGCTGATTTATAAAAACAGAGACGTTTATTTTCATAATTTATTAATATATTGATTTCTGAGCCAAATCCACATTTATTTAGAATACTTTATTAATTAAAACAATTTAAAAGTATGTAATTAACTAATTTTTGGTCGGAAATAATGGTGGTATATTTAATTCGTATACTCCTTTATAAAGATTTAAATAGTTTTTTTGGTATACCAATAGGCTTGCAATATTTACCACTTGTACATTTTCTGCATATATGTTGCTTAAAAAAAATCTGAAATGTCAATATTCCATGGGTATAGTGATAAATGAGGTCTAAATTATAAGAAAATGCATTTTCTACGAAAAGTTGCAGAGATAGGTAAAAAATGGTATAATAAAATTTGATAGACAATTAAATTGTGCATATGATTCACGTAAAATATACAGGGTGTTCCATTTAACTTAAACACGTTATTGTCGTTTAAAGCTAGTAATTATTTAATATAAATTTTTGGACAGTCTGTATAAGGTAGTAAAATTTTTATTATTGCAACACAATAGCTGATCAATAAATAATCTTCAGTAAATAATTAGTATTAAAAACTTTGATACTCTTGGAGAAATGAAACATTAAAATTTTTACTGCAATTTCTTAAAATTGAAAATATTTCAAAAACGGTAAGGTTTAAGTGTGATAAACCTTAATCAAATTTACCATTATTTCAATCGTAGAATCCAAAAATAGAATAATATACAGGGTGTTCCATTTAAAAAAATACAACTATGATATTTTTTACTTATTTGGGACACTCTGTATCTTGTAAAATATTTTTAAATTGTAGCCCTAATAGTCCTTCAACGAACCCAAAACTTACAATTTGTAAAAATCTAATCGTTTAGCTACAATACTCCGTGTCGTATGTGGTGAACAACCCTGTATATCTGACAAAATAAAAAAGTTATAGGGGTGAGCCACTTTTGAGACGCACCCGTTATACAGGGTGTCTAAAAAATAATAGGGTACCAAACTTTAATAGTACTATTTCTACACAATAATTTTTAGACCAAGTTATGATTGTTCAACAATATTAACAATATTCTTTTGATTGCAGGTTCCCGATTGCGGTATGCCTGCTCTTCGCCTCTTTGGTAGGAAATGGTTAGCTGCATCGGATGACCTTGTCTTTCCTGGATTATTTGAAATTGCCCTTAGAGTTATATGGTAAGCTTTCAAAATAATAATACAGGGTGTCCCAGAGATAAGTGCAAGTATTTTAAGGGGTGGTAGATCTCGATAAAACAAACATATTTTCTCTTTATGGTTTTTCAAATATATGTAAGTCCAAAATAACGGAGTCCAAAATAACGGAGTTAATTTACATTGAAAATTTTCTAAAAAAAATGATTTTTCACTCAAATTTTGAGAACCACTGTATCTTTTCTGGATTTTCTTTCTTGTAAATTTAATCTATGATTAACCTATGTTGCCGTATTATCAAGAAATTATGTTTTTCAACTAAAAACTAAAAAAAAATCCGAATTTTCAAAAAAAAATTGGAATTTTTACTCGATTACGAATTATGATGTTTTCTGTGTATTTTTTATAGAATTAAATTCATTTAAATTCAGCTGTTCTTTTATTATGTTTCTGCAACATCATTATTAAAACGCTTTACTCTACTTTTCTACATATCAAGGCTTTGCAGTTTTTCGCATATTAATGTACTATTAACATAACAATAAGCTTGTCATTGTACTATCACATTTACTTTTATTTTCATTTTGTTTCAGGTTGATATTGGTAGTATGCGTTCATATAGAGTATTACGCGGATACATGGAATTGTACAAAAGGAGGAGACTATGTACGAGCTTATATTATAGGTAGTTTTTTAATATATTTTACATATAAAAATACAAGGAGTAGTATCACATGATTTTTTTTGCCACAGAATTAGTAAAAATTATCTTATAATGCAAATTCTGTGGTAATATCACAGGCTAGTCATTAGACAGAATCTGAATAATATACTGGGTGTTTATTTGAAATAAAAGAGTAATTTGCTCGTAAAAGTGACCAATGTTCAATATTAATTTAGACGCACCCTGATTACATTTGCGGGTCAAATTTTAATTAGATTTAAAGTACAAAAGTTATTTTAATTGTATATTAGCCCTAGTCTATACCGGGTAAATTCGAATTTATCCTTGATTGAAATTTAAAAGCAATGTCTACTTGGCAAACATAAAATCTGACGGCATTCCTAAAACTTTTTTTGTTAAGCAATCTTTAAATGTATTATACTGTAAAATAGAAACGCGTGTTCCAACAATAATTATTCTTTTTTAATTAGCAAAAACCACGCTGCTAATAACCTTGTTTCGAAATTAAAATTACTGTGTGCATACAATGTTGATGTACTTACCCGTTTAATAATGTTATTACTACCGTTAACAAATAATACTGCAGTGGATTTTGCTGAATGCACAAAAAACGACAAAGAGTTATTTTGTAACCCCGTTAAAAGCATAATATTTAACAATAATGTATAACATATATAAGAAATAATTCAAAACAAGTCTAATTATATTTATTTAATATACCTACTCCATTTTCTTAGAATTATAAATAAATCTAGCAACTATAAATAAACCGATTAAAATAGTTATACACTAAAGTCTTGACTTTTTTTGTGATTTTCAAAACAAAATTTAATAATTAAGCTTCATTCAGAACCTTGCAATTAGTGGAATAAATTAGTGGTTTCAATTACACTTTATACTATTTAGTTTACTTTATTCACAATGTTTAAAAAAACAATTAAAATTAATAGAATATCCTAGCAACAGCTTGCGTTAGTCAGTTGTATCCATAGAGAAAGCTTAATATTTAGCTCATAAAACAATCAACTTTTGATTTCTAACCACAATTTCTCTTGACGGAAGATAATCAAAGTCCAAAATGACATTTCTCGCAAATTTTGAAGTATAATTAGTGGAAAAGTTAAAAGTTTGATAACTTTTTCTACTAATTGAAAATGTCTACCACTAATTTTGACGTTCTGAATGCTTACATTGAAATTAAGAGAACAAACTTCTACGCTGATTGAAGCCACTAATTTATTCCACTAATTGCGAGCTTCTGAATGAAGCTTAAGCATTGAAAACGTCAAAATTAGTGGTAGTAATTGTTCAATTAGTAAGTGTAATAAGTAGTAATTGTTCAATTAGTAACAAACTTTTAGCTTTTACCACTATAATTACACTTCAAAATTTGCAAGTAATGCCATTTTCGCCTTAGCTTACCATCCGTTAAAAAGAAATTGTGGTTAGACATAAAAAGTTTATTGCTTTATAAGTCTTACATATAACGTATAATTGAAACCACTAATTTATTCCACTAGTCTAATATGACAATTGTCTGTCATTTTAAATCACTGTCATGTCAAAGAAATCACTACATGTCAAAGGCTTTCCTAACTAATTGGACAAACTTTATCAATAACATAGAAAGTATTATAGATCATATGTCTTATGATGTGTATCAATGTATCATAATGTCCGTAGGTATTATGGTTTAGTCTACATATTCGATATCCCAAGTAATGCATTAAAAGCTGAAATAAAGCTAAAATACAAATGAACAAAATACATTAAAAGATAAAATATGAAATAATGTTGATCTCTAGAGGAACTTAAATATGAAAAAGAGATAAGTTTTAAATTAAATGTTTTGATATACATACGTATATACACACACCGGAAAAGTCTAGGGATATTACAATTTTATCCACCCATCGTCAGTAATTTTATTATTTACATTTCTGATATAATAAAATTAAAATAAACAAATAGTTTACAGGACGTATTGGAAATAAAAATGCGAAATTTACCGAATTTTTCAAATTTAACGTGATTTTTATTGAACTCAAAAAAATACACACATTTTTTTTTATTCTAAACTGTGAATTAAAAAAAAAGATAAAACCATTTTTACTTATTACAGTTGAGGGTTGGAACCTTTGGTGTTAAACAGCAAAATAAAAACACTAAATCACCACAATACACCAAAACACTTTTACTTTTACACTGGACGCGCGTTTCGCTAACCATGTTAGCATCATCAGCAGATGATTATAAACTGAGTTTATAATTTTATAACTGAGTTTATCATCTGCTGATGATGCTAACATGGTTAGCGAAACGCGCGTCCAGTGTAAAAGTAAAAGTGTTTTGGTGTATTGTGGTGATTTAGTGTTTTTATTTTGCATTTTTACTTAATAAAGGGTATGGCCTCCTCTACTGTTCATTACAGCCCTACATCGTCTCTCCATGCTCCTGATCAGGTTGTCGATCTCTTCTTGAGGTACAGCCTGCCACGCTGCATTCACGGCCCGAACCAGATCCCTACGAGTTTCACGAGGCATACCCATTCTCAAAATTCTTCTTTGGACCGCGTCCCATACGTGCCCGATGGGGTTGAGGTCAGGAGATTGTGCCGGCCAGGGTAAGATGTTATGGCATATGGTAACACGACAGGCTCAAGAATTAAATCACGATATGTGATTCCTGTTAGAAACCTTTCAAGAAAAACGAGATCGGTTTTTCGGCCTAACTGGACTCCTCCCCAGACCATAACTGTTCCACCTTGATAAGGGTGCACTTCCTGAACATGATCCAACCGAATAAGATTTCCCGGTTCTCTCCATACCCTAATCCTTCTCGAATCCGGATGAATTCCAAAGCGTGACTCATCCGTGAAGAGAACATGGCTCATTGTTCATTCGACCACTGAACATGATCTTGAGCCCACAAATATCGTACCTCTCAATTTCCTCTCGTTAAGGGTTGAGCTCTCCAGGGGCGTCTGCTTCTTAAGTTGACCTCTCTTAATCTATTGCGAACAGTTTCAGGACTAACGGTTACATTATGTGTTTCCTGGAGAATTAAACTAAGCTCTGGTGCTGTAAGAGTCGGTCGGCGTCGAGCATTTAATTGTAAAAAATGATCTAGCTGAGGGGTAGTAATGCGATGTCGCCCTGTGTGCCTTTCAGCAACATCACCACTTTCACGGTAGCGTGCACTTAATCGCGATATTACACTTTGCGTTGTATTTAATGCTCTAGCTACGTCGATTTGGCGCATTCCAGCTTCGAGCATACCCTTGGCATTTCGTCTCTGTTAAGATGTCTACGCTCCATAATGTCGTTTAATACTAAACAGAGTTATTTGAATGAATTCTGGCCAGTTATCATAAAAATATAGCCAGTACAGGTAAAATTCGAACAATTGATGCTAGGTGCTTTTTATACATTTCACAAAAAATGCACAAACACTTCTGCAAATATCCCAAATTTAGAAATAACTAGTGTGACTACTTCGTTTCAATCGAAGTAGAAAGAATCGGCCTACAAATGAGTGGTTGTTTATTCAAAACATTTATTTTTAACTCTAATAAAATGATATCCCTAGATTTTTCCGGTGTGTGTATATAGTACGAGAGCTAGCAACGTCGGAACAACAAGTATTTTAAGACGTCTGGCTCTTTGATATATCTTTTACTATGCTCTCTAGAACAGAATGCGGCCCGTCTGGCTGCCGGTAAACATTGCGTTCCCTACTGCGCATTGAAAGAAGATCCTATATTTTTATTAGTCGTTTAAATTCTAGTATTGAATATAAATCGAACATGTCTCCATAGCGCATAGTGCGTAGAGTTTCCGACCATGAACCGAAGATTCAGAGTTCGAATCCGGGTCGGGGCAAAGACTTTTTTATTTTATTTTCGTTTATATTCTGATAGTAAAGTATTAAATATTTGTTTTTATTTAATTACCAGAATTATTTAATACTTTACAATCAGAATATAAACGAAAATAAAATAAAAAAGTCTTTGTCCTGATCCGGATTCGAACTCTGAATCATCGGTTCGTGGTCGGAAACTCTACGCACTGCGCTATGGAGACATGTTCGATTTATATTCAATACTAGAATTTATAGAACTAAATTAATAAAAAAATATAGGACCTTCCTCCGATGCGCAGTAGTGAACGCAACGGGTATCGGCAGCCAGACGGGCCGCATGCTGTTCCAGAGAGCATAGTAAAAGATATATCAAAGAGCCAGACGTCTTAAAATGCTTTCTCTAAAACTTTTCTAGCTCTTAGACTAATATATGTATATCCAAAATTGTAATAACGATATACAGGATGGTCCGAACTGTATTTCGGAAACTTCGGTAGCATATTCTACAGAAATAAGTAAAAAACTTCGTATAAATGTATGTCCTAAAATGCTTAATTTCGGAGATACAGGGTGTAGAAGTTTCATATTTATTTCGATTTTTTCCAAATAATTTTTGAAGTAACGTCAATATTTGGATGAAAATTTGTGTCTGGGAGTTTTTTGACATGAGAAATTTGATTTTGATGTCAATATGGCTCCTATTTGTAGGGGGCTACATGTATTTTAACTGTTGTGAAGAGTAGTAACTTTTCGTCCATACCCGTATAAAACTACTAAGTGAAGAAATATACATTTCCGTGATTTTTTACGTAAAAAATGTCTTTTGGTAAAAAACTCTACGAGCAACTGTTCTCAAGATATTTTGAATAGAAATAGTCAATACATGTCATGATTTACAAAAAATAAACATGTTGAGTAGATGGTTATTTGACTGAAATGATTAATTTGGGATTTTTTTTAATTAATCATAAATTTTTCTTCAAAAAATCTTCTTTTAGTACAAAAACATTTAAAATTTATGATTTCAGTCTAATAACTATTTAATCAACATGTTTAATTATTTATGTCAATGATGAGAGGTATTGATAATTTCGATTCCAAATATCTCGAGAATTATTACTCGTATAGATTTTTACTAAGAGATCTTTTTACGTAAAAAACGTCGTGAATGTATATTTTTTTACTCACTAGTTTTATACAGGTACGGACAAAAAGTTATTACTCTTCAAACCAGTTAAAAATTATTTAGGTGGCGCCCTCTGCAAGTAGGAGTCATATTGACATCAAAATCAAATTTCTCATGTCAAAAAACTCCCAGACACCAATTTTCAGCTAAATATTGACGTTACTTCAGGAATTATTTGGAAAAAATCGAAATAAAAATGAAACTTCTGCACCCTGTATCTCCAAAACGAAGCATTTTAGGACATTTATACAAACTTTTTCACTTATTTTTATCTGCAGAATAGGCTGCCGAAGTTTCTGGAGTACAGTTCTAACCACCCTGTATAATATAGAGTATAGAGATATATTTTTTGTTTTAGGAATGATGGTCCTGTTGTCACTTGTCATCCTTGTCCTAGTGGCATTGGTTAATCACAGCGCCAAAGGATCCATCACAAACGTGGATGCCAGAAAACTAGTTCCTTCCATACTGTTGCTCAAATTGTTCCTTATCGTTCCCGAAGTGATTCTCAATGTTTTCGGGACCATGTGGGCCTTCTGCAAAGACCTGGTGGTCTGCCCATATGAAGGGCACTTTTCCAGAACAGTCATTGAAGGTAAGCTATAGTGAAATTGTGTTAGAAAAAGCACAGATTAGGTATCCTATAAGTATACAGATAAAAATCTTGTCCCTAATTCGTGGTACGAAAATTGTTTTTTATGACGATGAGCAAACGAGTAAAATTTCCTGTACGCAAAAATAAACGCGCGTTTAACTTAAACAGCGTAATAACTGTGCCGGTCAGGCGCTGAGCACAATTTTAGAGGCCGTAATGGGCGTTCTATGTGCGCAAACTAGTAACCTAACTATAGTGTGCGACTCCGAAAATTGGAACCACGAAAAACAATGCTTTTGACGATAAGTTTATAATCTGGTGGAAAAAGTAACAAATATTAGAGCAAATCTAGTTTTCCTTATTTCTCTAAAGGTTGTCTAGTAATATCATAGGCATGTACAGGGTGTCCCATTTTCGTGTGTTTTGTATCGAGTAGAGATACAAAGATACGGTTTTCACATTACTTTGCTACTTTTTTATTAAACTAAGGATGCTAGACTAGACACAGCTTTGTTCTAGCCCTGTTAGTTCATGAAATACAGGGCAAAACAAATAAATAATAATAATAATAACAAAACAAAAATTACAAAATAATTAATTAAATAATTAATTAATAAATATTACATATCAATAAATAAAAGTCAATCTGTAAATAAAGTGTAGCAAAAAATATTTTATTGTTGAATGAGCTACTATAATCATTTATAATAGTCAAATATTATTATATAAAATTTATATCTGGCTTTATATATCTAGGGTTATTTATACAAGGTATTTTAGATAAGTGCAAATATTTTCAGCGCTAATAGGTCCCGATAAAAAAAAGTATATTTTCTCTTTGCCGTTTTTCAAATAGGTAAAAAATAGGCGTGTTATTTTACTGTGAAAATTAAAGAAAAATTGTTTGCGTAAATTTTGAGACCCAAAAAATTTCCGATCGAACCCCTAAAAAGATTTGCAGTTATTTAAGATTCACGCTGTATTATTTGTCTGAGGGTAATACAATTGTTTAATTAAAATATAATGCTTTAATTTATGAACTTTTAAAAAAAATACAAATTAAAGTAGCCATAAATGTTTATAGGAACACGTGTAATAAATATTTTATACATTTAATTTCAAAATTTGTGTGAACGTAATATTTTGTAATTGAATAAAATTGTATCTGACTAATATATTATTGCGTGTAATTTCATTAAACTTGTATCGACATAATACATTTACTATTATTCCATGTAAAATAGTAGTTTTTAGACTGAAATTAACCCGTTAATATCGATTTCTCTCAAGGTCGACATACAATACGCCTTTGAACTCTTTTAAATAAATTATTAATTTCCATGGATATGTCAAAGAAAAAAACAGTATTTACCTATTTCTACTTTAAAAAGAATATCGTGTGCTACGATACTAAAATATTAAGTATAGAACCACCCAATATTAGATAACGAAAATATTTTAATTAAACTGTGGTAATAGATAACTAATAAACTATTTTAAATAGATAAATCTGCAATAATAACAACAAAACCACAAAATTAGAATAGGATCAGAAATATATGAGAAATATTTTTTTTTAAATGAGATGATGTAACAAAATGTTTCACTGAATATTTTTTTTCTAAATATTATTAAACTTTGTCTTCCTTTACCACCTTACACAAATTAGTACAAGATCTCCAAATAAGTGTGTTAAAACAGAATTCCGATATTTTATGACTCAAAAATACGCGCAGACCTGCCATTCACCGAAAAATTATTATATAATCGAGACATTGAACAGCTTTCTTTTAAATAACATTAATTTCTCTTTATGGAATTTCAGTTGTGTAAAGTTACAGGTAAATAAAGTAATATGGATATTTTTAAAATAGGTTTTTGTGCTTTATCTTTTTTAAAGAGATGGCAGATCTTGAAGTTTCAAATTAATGTATAGATATAATAACTTACCTACGTTTTACAGACACCAGTTACTTTTAAATAATGCCTATACCTTTGTGGCGGCTTCATAAGGAGACCGAAATCGACAAAATATCAAGAGACAACTTTTAATCGGCATTAAACGATCTACACTATTTTGCATTCTTGAAAAAAGTCAGTGGCGTACATGTTTTTTTTCAGAAAAATATTCCATTGATAACCCACATGCACGTCCCTGGTGAAAATGTCGACACTTTTTAACATTAAAATATGTCGCACCTATAGTAACTATTACAGTCAAACTTTACATATATACATATACAGCCGTTACTCGCTGACGAGTATTCGACGCACATAAAGAAGATGGTCACGCAAGGCGTTTTCTTTCATGAGCTTTTCTGTGACTGAAAAGCCCGATACGTGATGTTATCTGCCTACCGCACTCCGAACATTCAAAAATCTCATTGCTTTGTTGCCTATTTACTTTTTGGTTGCCGCTGTTAACTGAGTTTACAACTCTTCTCCATTGAGTTCTATTGTGAGCTGCTTTTTCCCACTCATTCTGCATGTTAATTCCCTTTAAGTTTTCGTGGAAAATGTCCTTGTACCTTTTCAGTTCTCCCCACTCGGCCTCCTCTTACCGTCTACAAGCTCACCGTAAAGCAGAGATTTTGGTATGCGGTTTTCTTGCATTCTGCATACGTGACCAGCCCATCTTAAGCGGGATTTTGTGACCATGACTTCAATACTCTCGCAGTTAGCTTTTTCAAGGACCGATACGTTTGAGACATGATGAAACCACCGGACTCGTAAGAGTTGTCTAAGGTGTCTCTGTTGCAACTTGTTTAATGCGTTCATGTGTCGGCGGTACGGCACCCAGGTTTCGCTCCCATATAACATTGTGGGGATTATAATTGCTCGGTACACTGCAAGTTTTGTTTTTGTACCCAAGTCGTGATTGTAGAAAACCCTGTCTTTTAATTTCCAGAATGCTCTTGAGGCGCTACTAATCCTGTGCTGAATTTCAGAGTCAATATTAGCCTTTTCCGAAATCAAACTGCCAAGGTAATTGAATTCCGCCACATATTCCAATAGTTCTTCTCCGATTTTTATAGCATTGTTGCGATCTTCCGGGGGAGTGCACATGATTTTAGTTTTGTCGATGTTTAGCTTAAGGCCCAAAGCCTCGTATGCTCAGGTATATGTGTTCAACATTTCTTGTAATTGCTGTACAGTGTTTGCAACTAGAACGCAGTCGTCAGCGTATTGAAGTTCTATGATAAATTTTGTACGTGTTTTTGCCCTGAGTTTTTTTATATTGAACAGACCGCCGTCATATCGGTATCTAATGCCCAATCCTTCCTCCTGCAGTTTGCTGTCCACTATAATGGAGAGCGCTGCCATGAATATGTTGAATAGGAGAGGCGCTAAGACACATCCCTGCCTAACTCCTGTATTTGTTAGGAATGGGCCGCTCAGTGATCCATGATGTGACACTCTTGACTTGTTGTTATGGAGGCTTTTACACACTGTAAGAAATTTTTTGGGTACTCCGAACTTTTTCAACTCAACTCAAACTGTCAAACTTTATAGTAACTAAAACAGTCATTCAAATCGCTGAAAGCACTAGGAAGAAAATTATAATAAATCGAAAAAAAATTAAGACTTTAACCCCCTGTAGCTACGAAACAAAGCAAAATCGGACCTATCTTGATATAAAAAAAATTGTGTGTGCACTATGTGCGCATATCAGCGGCGCATATAGGGGAGGGGTAATGGGGGTAATTACCCCTCCCAAGAAGAAATTTATGAATAAGATAAAATGTGTGTTATAAATAAAATTGTCACAAAAGAAGTTAATAATACCAATCAAAATAGAAAATCCAAACCTATCAAGGTACAGTACGTCTGTCCGTTCTGTAGCTACGGGGTATCCGAAGAGAGGAAACGATATTTTCTCGATGTTTTTCGTAAAAAATTAGACGAAGCGTCTCATCAATAAAAATTCGACAAATTTACAAGCGGAGCGATTTGCGGTGACGCACTCGTCAAATCGACGTATAAAATATATTGCTGTTTATTTAAATGTTTTTTGTCCGCATTCCTTTCATAGACACAGCAGATGTACTGCAGATGTACTGTATATTTCTTTCCACAGTCACAATATCTGTCAGAGAAAATATTATTTAAATTTAGTAATTTATTTAAATATTGTCACTACCCCGCCCAGACTCAATCTCTAGATACGCCACTGGCGCATATTTGAAGTGAAACTTTTTACTAACATCTACAGGGTGATCCGAACTGTATTCCGGAAACATCGGCAGCATATTCTGCGGATAAAAATAAGTACAAAAGTTCGTATAAATGTATGTCCTAAAATGCTTAGTTTTTGAGATACAAAGTGTAGAAGTTTAATTTTTATTTCGATATTTTCTAAATAATTTTTGAAGTAACGTCAATATTTGGATGAAAATTGGTGTCAGAGAGTTTTTTGACACGAGAAATTTGATTTTGATGTCAAAGTGACTCCTATGACTCCTGTTTGTAGGGGGCGCCATCTACATGTGTTTTAACTGTTTTGAGAGTAATAACTTTTCGTCCGTTCCTGTATAAAACTACTGACTAAAAAAATATACATTCTCATGACTTTTCACGTAAAAAATGCCTCTTAGTAAAAATCGCTACGATCAACCGTTCTCAAGATATTTAAAATGGAAATAGTCAATACATGTCATTATTGACAACACAAAAAGGGCACACGTTGAGTATAGTTATTTGACTGAAATAATAAAATTTTATTTTTTTAAATTAATCATAAATTTTTCTGCGGAAAATGATGGTTAAACAGTTTCTGTTTATGATTTTAGTCTAATAACTATTTTCAGTCTAATAACATATGTTTAATTTATGTCAATGATGACAGGTATTGATAATTTCGATTCCAAATATCTCGAGAACCATTACTCGTAGCGATTTTTACCAAAGGACCTTTTTTATGTAAAAAAAGTCGTAAATGTATATTTTTTTACTTACTAGTTTTATACAGGTATGGACGAAAAGTTATTACTTTTCAAACCAGTTAAAAATATGTAGGTGGCGCCCTCTAGAAGTAGGAGTCATATTGACATGAAAAACAAATTTCTCATGTCAAGAAACTCCCAGACACCAATTTTTATCCAAATATTGACGTTACTCCAGAAATTATTTGCAAAAAATTGAAATAAAAATGAAACTTCTACACCCTGTATCTCCGAAACTAAGCATTTTAGAACATACATTTTTACGAACTTTTTTTTTCGAACATACATTTCTACGAACTACGAAGTTCGGACCACCCTGTATATTAATAATAAATAATTAAAATATAAATATTTTTGATAAACATGTGAACTGTGACACTTTTCGTCTCGCTAGCTTGTGTGTCACGACCATGAATTTTTACTCCCAGCGCCCGTAAAAAAGTTTCACTTCAAAAATAAGGAGAGGAATACACAAGAGGTGGTACATGTTTTTTTAAACACCCTGTTTAGCATGGAAAAATCCTAAGCTGCATAGAAACAACTGCATCAGTACTTACTTAAACTTAATTATTTAATAAGCTCAATAGGGTTAGACGATTACCTTGACCAGGAAATTTTATTAAATTACTGATTCATTCGGCCATAAAACAATACGCTGTTTTGCAGGCTTTCTTTGCTCATTATATTGGTAAACCATAAAAAATAATTTGTTTAACAGTAAAAAATTATTAGATGCGTTTTTTTGTTTGTTAAAAGTAAATTTAGTATGAGAATTGGTTATGTTGGAAGTATATTAAATCAAATAATATATTTTGTTATATATCAAATATATTTTGTATACTATAGTTGTTACTTTTAAGTTTATCATAAATTATAATAATAATATTGGTCACCAATGTTATATTGCTGTTCTTTTTTGGGAACTAAACATTTACAGTTCATACCAAATAAACTTTTAGTCACGTGATTAAATTTGACCGGCACAGCGTTGTCCACTTGTATATATTTTCTTTTAATCAAAATATTTTAGGAAACAAAAATAAATTAATTATAAATATACAAACAGTTATTATTTACATCAACAAAACTCATTTTCTTAACAGCACTTAAGAGACATAAAGGGCAATTACTACCGCTTTCCCGTTTAAAATATTCTAATAAAGTTGCGATGAGGTTTTTACGGCTATTAAGCTATCTTGTACACTTCGCACTAAAAGAGGTTCTAGAAAGAACAATGTTCGACTGCAATGTCTGCTAGTAAACATTTTTAAGCTTAAAGTATCACAACACTATTTATTAAAACCAAAAACTCGTAATACAAAACTAAAGTGTCAAAACGAATGACAATGGCAGGAAATAAATAAATAAATATGGCAACTTGACATTTTTTACAGCAGAACTACCACCTGAATCCCCAGCGCGAAATTTAAATTCCTCAATGACTAAAGAATATAAGGACATGTAACGCCCCTATACGGGCTGCAGCAGAATTTGTGACCTTAGACGCCTTTTCTTTTGGTGGCAAACAATGATTCATCAGTTGGTCACCAGCGACAATTTTAGTAATTTTTAATAGTTCGTGTGTAGTGAACTTTGTATAAACTTTATTACAATGCTGATTAGTTGTTCAGCTTTCAAATGTAAAAGCAGCAGTGACAAGAAAGAGCCGGGAGTCAGAGCGGGAGTTACGTTTCATAGGTAAATAAACAGTCCGCTCCACCTTTTTAGCGTTTTCTTAAGTTTTCTTATTGAATTCGATAATTATTTTTCTGATATTATATGTACTTGATGTGTGCTATACGTCGATAGTAGTTTTGTTACTTTTTGTTAACATTTTAATACGTTTTTTTCGTAATTAATTTGTTTGAAGCCGCCGCCTACACCATAGGCGAAGTCAAAACATTTATCAAAAATATAAATATCCCTTCTACTAGCTAAGTTAAGAAAAAAATATGGCCATGGCACTGTTTGGTGCCATAGTAACAATTTGCTCTCGGGTGTTATTTGTCCTTGAATTCTTTAGTCATTGAAATTCCTGTTAGTCAGCACGGCGCTGCGCTGAATATGTCCATGGTTGGCAACAATGAATTTAAAAATCGCGCCCTCGATCACGTTATAACTAAAAGTTTAATTGATATCAAATATATGTAGAAATTACGTACATGAAATTTTGACTTGGTACGTATAAGAATAATTGAAGCCCTCTCCAGCTAGTTAAACATAGCCAGTTCAAATAGTTTTTTCTGTATTTTTTTGTCATTTTTGTTTTTGGCGATGCTTCGTCAGAGGAGTTATATTAAAACATGACTAAAAATATTTGCTGGTTTTATTTCGCATTATTATACCATAAAAACTAATTTGGAAGTATAAATCACACCCTTAACAGATTTTAAAACAAAACTGAAATTCTATCTTCTTTTTCAGCCCTTGTGATCTTCAACTGGGCTCTATTTGGTCTGGCTGTCTTCGGTTTAGCCATGGTATTCGATCCACTGGGTTCCAAGCGATACCACGAGGTCCAAGAGACGCCCAGTGCAGGAGAGTCCCTACGTCACAGGAAGGGAACCAGCATATGGAAGAGACGGTTTAAATGGGCTTTTTGCTGGGTCAGATCAGATGAACATGGTCATGAAGCCTTTCAACAAGTAAATTTAAATTTTAGTTATGTTTGTCTTCCAAGAAAATAGTGTTGTGTTAAAGATTTCGTGGATCCTTATATTTAGACACACGATATAACACCTAACTAGTCTATAACTGTGGAAATTTAATAAACAATTTTTATGTCCGCCTATCGAATTATATAAAGGTTTACCATGTTTATGGCAAATAAAATTCATGAGTACAGCGATACTGTAATACTGCTATTTTTACTGTAGAAAAAAAATGTTCTTAAACTATTAGTGGGTGTGGGTACACTCAGTTAACTGTGCTATAAAACAGCGTACGTGCACGACATACACTAATATAGGTCATATTGTGCAAACTTGCCTGCACAATCAGCCTGTGCTACAGAACTGAGCATCTATGGGGGTTCTTAGGCTTGTTCGCTTCGTACATTATCGAGAGATGTCGCTAGTAGTCCGTAGTCAATTTAAATCAAATCAAATTATCTTAGAATAAGTGCTAAATTTTTCAATTTTCTAAGCATAAGTAGAATTGCATTTCTTTATAGGTTGCCGCTTTACTGAGTGCTCTATTTCGAAGTACTGACCTGGTTCCATCAGACATTTTAGCTGGATGCATTCTTCTGCGAGTCAAACAAAAAAGAGAGACTAGAGAAATGAGACGAATTTACATGCTATCCGCCGATGAACCAAAATACTCTACTGGTAAGGGTTTCAGAAAATTCTAAAAATAGAAATATTTATAGTGAGTATTTATACTATTGGTTTGTTTCCAGATATCAACAAGGTGTTTTCCATAGCACCCAAATGGATGAATCTGGAAAACGCTAGACATTTCCTAAGATTGTCAATGGCGGCCTACGGTTGGCCCCTGGTCATGTACCTTCATTGTGGAACTGGATTTTTTCGACTGCTCAACAACATTTCATGTTGTTCGTGTTTCGGGAGACCCGAGTACACTTTGGTCGTGGATGACAATTGCTGCTTTTGTCACATGGCCGGTGTCAAGTACATTTCCAAAATCAACGAGCAAGATATCTTGTTTGCATCGTTCAGGAATCATGTTTTTGAAGTGAGTACATACATAAAAATAAATATTGGCCATTGACAGCCAGAAAATAATACTATAATTTAAGAACAGTCAGGTAAATTGAATTTTCTGTCATTTTTTGGATGTCCTCTGTCGAAATCTTTCCCTACTCATTGGACAAACTATAGTAACAGGTTGTTTCAGTTCCTTAAATTAATTTGGCCAAGTTAATTCATTATAACTGGAAATTTAAATTTTCTTTATTCTTTTTTGATCATAATTGCAAGATATCAATATTACTCATATTTTTTGTCCTTATTTTATTAAACGTAGATTGTGCTGATAAAGCTTTGTTAAACGCAATCCAAAACAACCTTTTATATTACGTAAGTCTTTCTACGTTCGAACAAAGCGGAAATAGTATATCGAATAGCAAATAATGGAAATTTTTGCAATACGGTTTTATCGTTTATATGCAAATTGCTTGTTTAATTTTGCATAACGCAAAAATTAAATAAAGCTCTAGTCCATTGAGGAATGTTTGAAAACAAAGAACCTTAAATTTGTAAATACGCCTAATGGTATTTTATTTTTACGGAAAGATTATACAATTATTAATAATACAATATAATGAATTAATATCATACTAGGCGAAGGAACTAATATTTTAGCTTTTGTTTTTGAATGAGAGTGACATAAGCTTTGTTCGGGTTCTTATTATTACCGATTCTGAACTGTCCTAGAACTGTGATGCGTATGCGCAGAAGGAAATATGAAGACATTATTTTACTTGCGCATGCGCTGCAGAGTTCTAGGACGGTTCAGAATCGGTAATAACAAGGGTTATATTTTTGGATTCTGAACTGTCCTAGAACTCTGCCGCGCATGCGCTAATGAAATAATTTCTCCGTGTTTCCTTCTGCGCATGCGTATCACAGTTCTAGGACGGTTCAGAATCGGTAATAAGAAAAACCCGAAGTGAGCTATAGCTATAGCTTACTTCGGGTTTCTCTTATTACCGATTCTGAACCGTCCTAGGACTGTGATGCGTATGCGCAGAAGGAAATATGAATACATTATTTTACTTGCGCATGCGCTGCACAGTTCTAGGACGGTTCAGAATCGGTAATAACAAGAACCCGAACAAAGCTCTTAATTGATGTTCGAATGGAAGTTTGACACTACTACTACCATTACTCGCTGACGAGTATTTGACACGCGATACGCATCAGAAGATTTTCTGCGACTGAAAAGCCCGATACGTGATGTTATCCTTAGATTATATTAATGTTATCTGTCTTCCGCACTCCGAACATTCAAAAATCTCATTATTTTGTTGCTTTTTTACTTTTTGGTTGTCGTTGATAACTGAGTTCTTCTCTATTGCGCTCTATTTTGTGCGCTGCTTCCTCCCACTGATTCTGCATGCTTATCCCCTTCATAAGTTTTCATGAAAAATATCTTTGTACCTTTTGATTGACCACCCGGTTTCCTCTTACCGTCTGCAAGCTCACCGTAAAGAAAAGATTTTTTGATAGGCGGTTTTCTTGCATCCTGCATATGTGACCAGCCCATCTTAAGCGGGATTTAGTGATCATGACTTCAGCGCTCTCGCAGCTAGCTTTTTCAAGGACCGATACGTCTGACATATGGTAGTACCATTTAATCGTTTCGGAAGTTTGATACAACAATTTTCTATCAATATATTTGTCTTTCAGTAAACTATGCGCATAATTAATTTTAACTGCTTTATTATTTTCTATAGCTTCCGTTCTGTGTGATTGCTGATCACAAGACATCGAACATCGTGGTGGCGATACGGGGTTCCATATCTCTCAGAGACATCTTCACAGACCTGACAGCAACTTCTGACAAATTTGAAGCCGAGGGACTTCCACCAGATACCATGGCCCATAAGGGCATGATTGCTGGAGCAAATTATATAGCGAAGAAGCTTAAAGAGGTACTATAACATGCTGTCTATTAAGCAAAAAATGTGCTACACTGCTACATGTGCTCCTACCAAAGACTTAAAAAAAAAAATTACATACCACATATAATCGAAAAAAAAACAGCGTCAAAGACGGCTAGGAATGACAATCGATGATAGTTTTGGCGAGGTCAAGCCCTATACGTCATTATTTGACCCGTACTCTTCTTTATTTTTTAATGGCGCTTACTGGCAGTTTGCCTAACAAGGTTGCAAATTATTTTTATACTGAGTAAAAATCATTTTTAAATGGTGTAGTTTAAAATTCGAGAAAAAACATTTTTTTGGAAATAGATCATTTGTGGGTCTGGAAATGTTCTATCCATTTTTAATCTTTCTATAATTAGTGTTAATTTTTGACAAGTTTTTTGACAATTTTTAGTAAACGACGTCTAGAGACTGACCTCGCCAAAATTATCATCGATTATCATTCCCCAGCCGTCTTTGACGCCGTTTTTTTCGATCATACGGTACTGCTTTTACTATAAAACTACAAAACTACAATAATAATAAATTTCATGAAATCTAATAAAAGATGTTATACACCTTCTAATAATCTAATGTTGATAACCTAGATATTTTGGTTTTAATTGAACTTTTAGGCTGGTATTTTGGAAAAGTCTCTGGCTTCCTATCCAGATTATGGATTGGTGTTAACAGGTCACAGTTTGGGGGCCGGAGTGGCATGTCTACTGGCCTTCAAGGTTAAGCCCAAATATCCAGATCTCAAAGTCTACGCTTTTGCTACTCCAGGTAGGTAATTATTTATTTTTTACAACTTTTATTTTACATGCAATGTTTTTCGCATGTAAGTTTTTTTGCAATGCCATTTTTCAACTACTAAGAAATACAGGGTGTCCCTAATACATAAATGCAAGCTTTTTTATAATATTATATAAGGGTTTCTTATAAATAGTCTAAAAAAATTAGGGTGTGATTCCTTATATTTTTATAAGAAAAAAAATGTTTATACGGAGACTAAAGTATTTAATTTTTAATCTAAAGGGTGTTAAAATTTTAATTTATTTAAAATACTCTAAAGAAAATAATTTCTGGTTCTTGGTTATCAATACTTTTTTAACAAAATTGATCTCTTGAGTTTTTCTTTTCTTTTTCATTGAACGGTTTTCGAGTGGTGAGTCTTAAACATGTCTTAAATAAGTGCAAATAATTTTAGGGATGGTCTATTTCGACCCTAGAAACACGTCTGTGAGGTTTTTTTTGCTAAATTTCGCATTTTTCGAAAAATTGTTTGGAGTTTTTTTTAGTTTTTTGTTAAAAATCATAATATCTTAATAATGTGGCAACACAAGTACTATTTTAAATTTAGAAGAACGAAAACCCAGAAAAAAATCCAAAAATAACATTTTTTTAAAATGGTTTTTCATCATTTTCAAATCATTTTTTTAAATTTTCAAAGTAAAATAACTCCGCTGTTTCAGACTTATTTGAATAATGCTAAAGAGAAAATATTTTTTTTTATTATCAGCTCTGAAAATATTTGCACTTATCTAAGACTTACTCTGTATATGTAATTTACTTATTTTTGTTAAATTTATTTATTCAGTTAGAAATATATTGGTTTTATTAGCATGAGTTGACTCCACGTAAAACGAGACTACGATATTACTGAGTGTATCTTATTTAATATTTTAACTTATTAAAATATTAAATAAGTAAAAGTAAAATGGAACGCCACTGATCATCCGGAAGTGAGAACAGCCATATTGAAACCCCTTCAAAGTCTCGGCAAATTCTTTTTTCATACTCCTTTCCATTTTTTTTATTCGATATATGGAATACTAACGAATATTCTTTATATATTAGAGCGCCTCTTAATTTACTAATTTCGCTGTGATCCCACTTATTCATGGTTTACCACTGTCTGGTTTTCAGCTGGATTACTTAGTAGAGAGGCTGCCCGACTGACGGAAAGCTTTGTATTCACGGTTGGACTTGGAGACGACTTTGTCATGCGGCTTGGAGTTGACAGCATAGAAAATCTGAGGACTGGAATTATCCAGACACTTCATGCCAGTAGATTGCCCAAAGTAAGACACAATTTTGTTTCTCTAACTCCTTTAGCAGCTTTTAATATTACATTAAAGTAATATATAAACTGGAAATTATTTTAAAAAAAGTACACATCGATTATAAACATTATTCTACTGTTATGTAAAGATTTTTTTTATTTCTTTATTAGTATCGAATTTTACTGAATGGTTTTGGTTACGCTTTGTTCGGTGTACCTCCGAGAGACCTGGAATCAACCTGGAGGGACGAAATGATTCCAGAGACTGGAAGAGCTCCTCTTCTGCTATCCAGAAACATTCCAACAGTAGCCGCATCGACAGTAAGAACCTATATACTCCACCAAAATTGGTTTAATCTTATGTTTTCTCTATATTGTAGGAAGCAGCACTCTTATCCAGAGATTTAAGTGTCAGAAGGTTTTCAAAAACGCGCTTGTATCCTGCTGGTAGGATTTTGCACATAGTGAGCAGAAAAAAGTCAAAAACAGACAGGTAAATACAGAGCGCCACTAAGAAATTTGAAAATTTTATAGTAAATAGATATTTTATTATAATTATATTAGGCGTCTGCATTTATTTTTATTTTTAAAGTATTAGTTTTTTAATAAAAACATAATATGATACACCTTCTCAATTCTCTAGAAAAACTGGTAATGGGGCTTCTAACTACGAAATGCGCTGGGCTGCGGCTGAAGACTTCATGGAGCTAAAGGTCATGCCACGCATGTTACTCGACCACTTGCCAGACAACATTTACAATGTGCTAGACACTATTTTAAGAGAACAAAAAGACAATGTTAGTGAAATTATTTAAACGTTAGTTTATTTTTTGTGTATTTGATTGTAATTATCTTGATTTAATCTTCAATCGAATTTGTTTGTCTCTCTAAGAAACTTTTAAATGTACATAACGAATTTTGTTTTAGATTTAAGACCAAATAAGATATTGTAAAAAGGCATTTTAAAGTATTATCGGGTGATATTTTTTATAAACATTCCAAGTAGAGTAGTCTCCTTAAACACATACATATATAAAACCAAATTATATTTATAGAATGAATAAATAAAAACACTGACTGATAAGTATGTTGTTTTATTTGTTGAATTCCTGATTTTGCGTTTTGTTTGGTTATTACTATTATTTTATTAGCGTACAAAACGAAAACAAATAATTTAATACATTTTACATTTATGAAGAACATAATAATTACTGTGATTATACATATTATTGTGATTACATCGCTAACGTAGACAAAACGAAGGTCCTACAAATTGACTGTAAGTTATAAGAATCTTTATCTTTTTAATCTTTTTATGATTTGAATTTTCGTGCTTTATATTTTATAATAGACTCGAAATGTTAATATTTTTGCAAATTCTTGTGAAAATGTGAAGTTTATGTTTTTGTTTTATATTTGAAAAAGTTTTATATTTTTAAGATGTTTCTTGTTGTTCCTATTATTAATATTATAATATACATAATTATTTTTTTGTACCTTTTGAAGAATAATGCTTTTATTTCGTTTACCATAACTGTTTTTTTTATCATCTTTTTTGTTATTTTAATAAGAGAAATACGTTTTCGTTTATTTAACTTTTGTTTTTATATCTGTTATGTCCAGAAATTATTGTTTATTTTACCGATGGAAATAAATTTATTTGATTTTAATAAACGCTTTTTAATTAAACATCCTTGTCTAAAAGGCTACTACAAAATACACAATCCATAAGTAAACCGTCCTCGTCTAAAAGGCCAGTTGACGCAAGCGCGGTAATAAACTCTTATCAAACTTGTTACCGTTTTGCAGTACAGCGTTGACGCGTCTTGCTTTTGTTAGTTTGTCTATGGTTTTAGATTTAAGACCAAATAAGATATTGTAAAAAGGCATTTTAAAGTATTATCGGGTGATATTTTTTATAAACATTCCAAGTAGAGTAGTCTCCTTAAACACATACATATATAAAACCAAATTATATTTATAGAATGAATAAATAAAAACACTGACTGATAAGTATGTTGTTTTATTTCTTTTATCCCTTGTAAAGTGTTTTAATTGGATTAAAAAATTTGAAAACTCTTTTGTTACCGATCCTTTCGCTGCTAGAGAGGAACCCAGAGAACCTCTTTGGGGAACCTACTTTGTTTACGCGAAATCCGAACGGCGTTCAAAGTAGCCGGATGCAACTCAGCACCAAAACTTAAGACCAAAACGCAACCGTTCATTCGTCAATATGATCCTAGCAGATAAGGCCTTTAATTTAGAAAGGAGGCCAATTTCAATATGAACTGTCATTACCAGCCTTATAGTCCTGGCAGCTTAAGCCGCAAAACCAATCAACAAAGAAATAAGAAAAAAATTGTCATCTGTCACCATCAAGCTTATTTATTTTGTTTTGAGTTTTGAACAGTTTATTTGTTTTGATTTCCAAATCTACAATTTTTTGTTAAGTTTAAAAAATTGAGTATGTTTTGATCTTAGGTGTTGATAATGTCTGTAGATTTGTTAGTTTCTGAACAATGTGGTTCTACAGAAGATGTAATTTCGTATATAAATGGTAATATTGCGTTTATTTTTTAAATTTTTTCTACACATGATGTAATTTCCTATATAAACAGTAATAATACGATTACTTTTTAAATTCATAGTTAAGTAGTATCCATATTTTGAAATGATTAATTTAATTATCTTTAGATAACAATGAAATTCGGTCGGTGCATCAAGGTGGAAGTTTTCTCCATAATTTTCGAGGCATAACTGAATTTTTTAAAGAAGTCCTTCTACCATACGGATATCCCGAATCAGTTAGCGAGGATTATTTAGAATACCAAATATGGGACTCCTTGCAAGCCTTTTGCAGTACGATTATAGGAGCTTTCACTACCCGAGCTGTTTTAAAAGGCGTAGGAGTAGGTGACAGTAATGCTAATGCTTTGTCAGCAGCTATTACTTGGATCATGAAAGAAGGTACTGGAATGATTGGTAGGATACTTTTTGCATGGTGGAAAGGGTATAAAAATAATCTTTTACCTTACCTAAAAAAAATATTTTGTTTTGTTTCTGTTTGCAGAAGCGGTTTAGATTGTGACTGCAAGAAATGGAGATTTTTTGCAGACATTTTAAATGACTCAGCAATGCTAATAGAATTAGTTTTACCATTCTTTAAATCATACTCAATGCACATTTTATGTCTTACATCGGGTATGAAATCGATTGTAAGTCAAGAAATTGGAGGATTAAACAGTATCTTTCATGCAAGATATTTCAGGTTGGAATTACGGGTGGAGCAACTAGAGCTTCTATAACCCACCATCAGGCTATTAAAGATAATATGGCAGAAATATCTGCCAAAGATGGCAGCCAGGAAACAGTTGTAAATTTGATTGGTAGTTTTGTCAGCATTTTTCTATTAAATTACTTCACGTCATCTGTGTATGTTAGAACTAAAAAAAAAGATATATACATATCTTAAAATAATATCTAATATTTTCAGATCAGAATGGGCCTTACTCTTATCTCTCATGTGTCTACATCTATACACAAATTATTTAGCAGTAAAAGCACTCATTTTTAAAACTTTTAACAAGCAAAGATTGGCACTAGTATTGAGAACATATTTTACAATTGGTACAGTTTTAAATCCATATAAAATAAATGAAAGAGAAGCAGTTCTGTTAGGACATGGTTTAAAAGGTATTAGAGAATAAAACAATTTATAAAATTGACTTTGTATTAAAAGTAACTTGGTTTCAGTGAAAAGCATATGTGGATTTGATGTAGTACTGTGCCATTCATTGAAGAAGGCTCTGAAATATTATAAGGCTGTTGATGTAAAAGAGCTTTGTGATATATACATGAATAAAAATTATTTACTATTCGTCTGTGGTAAAAATAGAACCATATATGTTTCATTAAAAAATCGGGAAACCACTGAAGATGTCGTAGCAGCGTATTTCCATGCTGTTTGTCTTGGTATAGCGACCAGTATTTACAACACAATTGAATTAGTAAGTAAGTCTAATAAAAAATATATCTTTTAATATCTAAGAACGTTTAGGATATATATTCGAAAAGACAGTTACATCATCCCACTCCTATAACCAGATTGTTCACTTATATGAAATCATATGAAAAATTCCAGAATAATTTTAGAAACATTCCATATCATTATTTGAAAAGTTTTTACGAATTCGTCAATCAAGAAAATGCGATGTTTTTTACTGCTCTACGCATCAACGGTAAGTTTTCAATCTTTGAAAAACAATCAAGTAATTTTTTTTTTCTGCAGGCTGGAGTATGAATTCCCATTGTTTAGAAATTGGAAAATATCGGGTGGATTGGGAAAATAAAAAGCTTTTATAATTTATTTAATATATATTTATTTTTGAATAACTGGATCTATAATTTTTTAAAAGTAAAAAAGATCTATTGTAAAAAGTTTCATTTCAATTATAAAATATTTTTGCAGTTTTAGAAATACGATAATAGTTAATACCTTTTTATGCTTTCAGTAACTTATTTAATCTGCTATCCTGATTTTTTAAATATATTTATTTTAATCCTAAAATTCTTTTGCGAATATTATGATTTTTTTTATAAGAAACTGAAAAAAGTTTTTCAATAAAAATAAATATTTTTTAATTATCTAGAAAAACTGGTATTATAGTAGGGTTTCTAACATGCTTCTAACTACGAAAAGTGTTGGTCTGCCGCAGAAGACTTCATGGAACTTAAAATTTCTCAAAATTTATTTAAATTCAGTCCCTAATTATCTCTGCCTATGGAGTGTAGAGGTAAGGAGAAATAACTCTTACGGGACTTTTATTGAAAAAGTGGTCACAAAATGGGAAGAATAAGGGTTCGCCAAATAACCACAGTGGCGCTAAAAACGCATGATTCTAAAAAATGAGACTACACTATTTACATCTCAACGCGGACAAACAACCTTTTTTGTACACATGTTTACTTCTGGGTACAGTCGACCGAGCCTTCCTCATCCAGCCTATGTTGTCACGTCTTTAATATTATCAATATTTTTTTCTTGTTATACACATATATTGAGATATTAATACTACAGTTTAATAAAGTAGGTTTTAATATTCCATAGATGTATTAAATAGTCCTTATACTACTAAATTATAAGTCGGATACTGTTTAAAAAGGATAAGTTCTTTACAATATGATAACACCGATTAGAGGCGAGGGAGCCTATTCATTCATTTATTACCTTGTAGTACGCGTGGCAAGTGTGCGGTAAAGCTTTGATGCCGCTATGTCCCCGGCTGTATTAACGCATTTTCTTAGTTTGTAGTCCTTAAGTGTTTATTTTATTGACTTTTTCTGTTCAAGAACTATAAAATATGGTTCGCCAGTGCCAAATTTGCAAGAAATTTGACTTAAATAATCCATTTAAGTCTTGAAACGACTTTCGACCGGTAGACAACTCTCAATTTGCCCATTGGGAGCCAGTGGCGTTGTTGTAGAAAGGCGCTTATTTAGATAATATTTTAGTAAAATGTAAAATCTGAATTTTTTCTCATTACATTATTTACTTACTTACATTGTAACAAAGTCATAATTATAACCCTGTTAATAATTAATAATGATTTTATTAAAAATATGGTTTATTCTAAAATTATCTTGAGCATATAAAATAACATACAAGAATTTTAAATTGATATTACATTATGAAACAATATTTTTTAATATACCGGGTCGTCTCAAAAGTGGCTCACCCCCTATAACTTTTTTATTTTTTCAGATAAAAAAAACAGATTTGTATGTTATAGGTATATGACATAAATTAGGATTTATTGATGTATTCAGTTGTTTTTGGTCTCTTCCTGTTTCACCGAAATGATTACATCTTTTTATTTTTAAAGGCAACCTCGGTATATTGCTACTTTATTCGATAAAAAATGACACTCTGAATAGAATGACATATCATATGTCAACTTTTGACATTGTCGCTGAAAAACAAATCGTATTTTAAATTTCAATCCAGGGTGCCATGGTGTTGTTAAAAACACTAAGTTTTAATCAAGGAGCCTTGGAAAAATAGTTTTGATCGTCTAATAGGTTTCGTGTCTTGTCTAAGTCGGTTAAAATATGTACAAATCGTATTTTTAATCATACATATGTCAATTTTTTCAAATGGAACAAGGGTGACTCATTAGCATATTTGGAAAAAGCATTTTTTTATGAATATATGATACCACACACTTGGTATTTCGAGTCAAATTGTCGCTATGAACCGCGTGTTACAATTACAATTAAACCATATGCGAAAATGTCAAAAGTTGAACCATATGATATGTCATTCTATTCAGAGTGTCATTTTCTATCGAATAAAGTAGAAATATACCGAGGGTGCCGTTTAAAAATTAAAAGTTATAGTCATTTCCGGTGAAACAGGAAGTCAATCAATCCTAATTTATTTCATATACTAACATACTAAATCTTGTTTTTTATTTGAAAATATAAAAAAATTATGAGGATGAGCCACTTTTGAGACGCACCCGGTATAATAAAGACAGTACCGAGTTAAATAAATGTAGTTTTATTTTATCCACTTCCTATCACCTTCCTTGCTTTAATGGAACCGATTTATGTTTTCTCTAATTTACATAATAAGACATCACTTAACCAGAAAAAAATTACAACAATCATATTTTTTTCTCTCTCCTGTCGCCGATTCTATTATATCTGTGGAATAGATCCTGTTTTGATTAATATTAGGGGTTGTAAATGTTTGACTAAAATTAATAATTTATTATTAATTTCAAAAATTACCTAATTTCGATTATAAAATTTCTTCTATAACGTGTATTTTATTATTTTTATCCTTTTTGGACTCTAAGATGTTTTTTCTAAACTTTTATTTAAAAAACCTGTTCTAAATCTTAATAAAATATAAAAAAGTTTAAATACGATATATTTTTAATTTAATTATAGCTTCATTAAAATAAAAAAATTACCCGGCTATGATACAGAGAGTTCAGGTGTACTTGAGAAACGAAAGACAGTGTTGTGTTTCTCGGCAGAGTCGTCAGGGAACGACCGTTACGACAGAGACAACCTATCTATCGCTCGTGTCGCACTCGTTATAACCTAAAACAATAACAAGACAGTGTCTGACCGCATGTTCCAGCTATTTATGAATGAGATGCTCAGTCTATATTTTATTTTAAGTCTATGGCTCGACCGCTCGACCCTCTCCATCATCTCTCCATCCTTTGTTACCAGTTGCCATGTGAGTTGCCACGCGTGTTACCTCCAGGGGGGTGACAGTAAACCGGAAAATTGGAAACAGTTGTGGCGCGGTTCTACCCATGTTCTACCCAGGCAGAAAATGGCCTTCTAGACTGTCCTAGACAAAAATCTGAATATTTCTATATGATTTCTGTCAATTTCTGCTACGGAACATTTTTATGCACGTCGGCGTCCTGTTCTTTTGTCTTTTGTCTGTGTGTCAGCGTCAGCTCCCGAGGCCTCTGGCAACATACTATCTGGCAAAGTCGGGCGCCATTTTAATTTTTGCCGTTTAGATTTGATTGGAAGTTTGTTTCTGATATTTCGGCTGAAATTTATAAGTACAAAGATGTTTTTTGATATAAAGTTCCTTGTTAACACTTTAATAAAGTATATATGATATTAATTACATGAAGAAAATGATGAAATCGACGTTTCTGCGTGTAATAGGTATGGGCCATATTATATGTAAAAATAGATAATATGTTAACTGTTTTTATATTTTTTTAGCTTTAAACCCAAGGATTTTGGGATATTCTTTGCCAAGGATTTTTCCGTATCTCTCCTTTAAAGACTGATCGGTGATTTGAAAGCAATTGAAAGCAAGTTATACAAGGTAAATTATGATTATTGAACTATTATTAGCCTATATTAATTTTCTACAAGATGAACAGAAATGCGTGATTACATATCACATAGGTACCTATTATGTATTTTCATAGCAATAATGCTATAAATCTATGTATGTAGATTATTTTTAAAATACAAATGAGGTATTAGATGTATATGTATTATATTTTTTATTCATTTTATTTTCATTCAAGTCCTGTTTGATTTAATTCACAAAAGTCTTATGTACCTATATTTATGTTTTTTACATATTTTTTTTGATTCCAGGTTTTGTGTGGGTTCCTGGTTACCTTTTTCCTGCTTCCAGTTATTCAGTTTTATGCCCGTGAAGCTGTGAAAACATTTATTTATCTTCAAGTTTCTGTAAGTCAATGCACTTAATTCACTTTAACACAGCATCTCTGATATTATTTAAATATTTGATATTGATACAGTAGTTTATTGGTTTATAGCTCTTTAATTGTGTTGATTTGCATATTTACATTGTTCTAAATTCCAAATAAATATTTTTGAGTAATTTTGTTGTATTATTTAGTACTAGAAAGAGTAAAAAGTATATTAACCCTCATTTAAACCTCCTGAACAGCCCGCCATTAAAAACCGGAAACGGAAATAAATTTCATAAAATTGAAATTGTCATGTCTATGTCATGTCAAATGTCCCAGCCGCCATATCTAAAAATTAGTTACCCAGGCAGCCACGCTGTTTCCATAATTTAACATTGACTTGACACTTCTTGTATTTATTATTTTATGGTTACCTCTACCTAACACAGGTCTTAACATGCAACTCACTACCCATACTCAACCGTTCAGGCGTTGAGATAGTCCTAGCAGCTTAAGACCTTAAATTAAAAAAGAAGAACATTTAATGAACTGTCACTGTCAAGGTTATTTATTTTTGTTTTGATTTTCAAATTACAACCGTGTTACAACGTTCATAATTTTTGTTAAGTTTAAGAAATTGAATATGTTTAGATAATGTCTGTAGATTTATTAATTTCTGAACAATGTGGCTCTACACATAATGTAATTTCATATATAAACGGTAATAATACGATTATTTTTTAAAATTCATAATTAAATAGTATCCATATTTTGAAGTGATTAATTTAAATATCTTTAGATAACAATGAAATTCGGTCGGTGCACCAAGGTAGAAGTTTTCTGCATAATTTTCGAGGCATAATTGATTTTTTTAAAGAAGTCCTTCTGCCATATGGATATCCCGAATCAGTTAGTGAAGATTATTTAGAATATCAAATATGGGACACCTTGCAAGCCTTTTGCAGTACAATTATAGGAGCTTTCACTACCCGAGCTGTATTAAAAGGTGTAGGGGTAGGTGACAGTGATGCTAATGCTCTGTCTGCGACTATTACTTGGATCTTAAAAGAAGGTACCGGAATGATCGGTAGGATACTTTTTGCATGGTGGAAAGGGTATAAAAGCAATCTTGTAATTTATCTAAAAAAATGTGTTGTTTTGTTTCTATTTACAGAAGCGGGTTAGATTGTGACTGCAAGAAATGGAGATTTTTTGCAGACATTTTAAACGACTCAGCAATGCTAATAGAATTAGTTTTACCATTCTTCAAATCATACTCAATGTACATTTTGTGTCTTACGTCAGGTATGAAATCAATTGTAAGTCAAGAAATTGGAGGGTTAAACTGTATATTTCATGCAAGATATTTTAGGTTGGAATCACGGGTGGAGCAACTAGAGCTTCTATAACCCACCATCAAGCTATTAAAGATAATATGGCAGAAATATCTGCCAAGGACGGCAGCCAGGAAACCGTTGTGAATTTAATTGGTAGTGTTACCAGCATTTTTCTATTAAATTACTTCACGTCATCTCTGTATGTTAGAACAAAAGAAATATATATGTTTTAAAATACTTAATGTTTTCAGATTAAAATGGGCCCTAATCTTATCTCTCATGTGTTTACATCTGTACACAAATTATTTAGCAGTAAAAACACTAATTTTTAAAACTTTTAACAAGCAAAGAATAGCACTAGTATTGAAAACATATTTTACAATAGGTACAGTTTTAAATCCATGTAAAATAAATGAAAGGGAAGCAGTTTTATTAGGACAAGGATTAAAAGGTATTATAGAACAAAGCACATTAAAAAATTCACTTGATATTAAAATAACTTGGTTTCAGTGAAAAGCATATGTGGATTTGATGTAGTACTATGTCATTCGTTGAAGGAAGCTCTGAAATATTATAAGGCTGTTGAGGTAAAGAACCTGTGCAATATATACATGGATAAAAAGTATTTACTATTAGTCTGTAGTAAAAATAAAACGATTTATGTTTCGTTAAAAAATCGAGAAACTGCCGCAGATGTGGTAGCAGCGTATTTCCACGCGGTTTATCTTGGTATAGCAACCAGTATTTACAACAAAATTGAATTAGTAAGTTAAAACTAATAAAGAAAATATATTTTAATATCTAAGAATTTGTAGGATATATATTCAAAAAGACAGGTACATCATCCCACCTCTATAACAACATTGTTCACTTTTATGGAATCTTACGAAAAATTCCAGAACAATCGTAAAATATATATTCCCCCGCTTAATTATTTCAAAGGTTTTTACAACTTGGCCAATTCAGAAACTGAGAAGTTTTTTACTGCCCTTCGCAGAAATGGTAGGTCTAAAGGCCCCCATATATCTCAGTTATTTTGCTTGGTTTTAATGGTGCAGTTAAAAAGGCGCAAGTAGAAAGAACCGGCAAGCAACCTCCACACATTGTCTCGCGTTTTGTCTTTTGTCCAGTTTATTTAATCGTGTCATAGACAAGAACGATGGATTCGAGAAAGAGATAGCTAACAGTGGCGGCATTAATTGCTATAAAAAGCAAGCCTAAAAAAAGTGGGCGAGCACCTTAAAGAGTCAATTTTCCTCTTTACACTTGGTGAAGACAAATATTGAACGAACGGGCAAAATAACCAAAGTATATGGGGAGCTTCAAATCTTTGTAAAACAATTGAGTAAAACCATTTTTTTTCTATAGGCTGGAGTATAAATTCCCACTGTTTAGCAATTGGAAAATATAGAGTGGATTGGGAAAATAATAAAAAACTTCCCTAAAATTATTTTATAATTTTTATACGTTTATTATTTAGAAATAAGTTTCTATTTTTTATAAGTAAAAAGATCTATTGTAAAAGTATCTTCAAAAAAGCAAGTGAGAAAAACAAAAATAGTTAATAACTTTTTTGCTTTCAGTAATTTATTTAACCTGCTATTCTTATTTTATTTTTAAAAATATTTATTTTAATCTTTTGAGAAAAAAATTATATTTTTTTTATAAGAAACTGAAAAAGCTTATTAATGTCAAAGCACGAAGCTGTCCAAGCGAAGGCGTCCTTCATTTTCTGTAAGAAACATTAGATCGGCCATTGTTTGTTCACAAATTGCTTCTTCTCCTTTTTCAGACATCTAAAAAAAAAACATTAATTAACAATATACAGGGTCACCCAGTCTCAAAAACCACTTGAAAAGTTGACCTTTTCGGAGACATTGAGCAAAAAATATACACCATTTAAAAATACAGTTTTTGTTTAAAAATATATTTAAATCACACTGTATACATCTAGGTTACCCTGTATAATATTTATCTTATAAAATTCTTACCGGTCTCCAATTATATTCATTTGTGGAAGGTGGATACTTAAAATTGGGTCCAAAATTTACAGATACAGTTACGTTTCTATGCAAAGATAGAGTAGGATAATAAGACCCTTGGTATAGCTCTTCAAATGCCACTCCCTGGCATTCGCCATTTTTAAAATGGACAATCTTACTTTTAGGCAATGGAATTAAAGTTTTTAGTCTTTCTTGGACGTTATCCTTTTCCTCGTAGTACAGATGACTTTTAAATTTAACTAGAGGCTAAAAGAAATATTTAAGGATAATAATCAATAATAATCAATGACAGAGTATCTGTTATACAGAAGTGGCAGTAAACGTCGGCTTCTTTAAAGTATCTAACTCAATTTTTTGACAAAACATAAAAAAAAAGAAATTAAACTCACTGGTACAGTGAAAAAAATTCTAGAATTTTACTCTACTCAAAGAAATTTTTAAAAACACTGAGAAAAATAATTTCCGTATATACAGGGTGTCAAAAAGATTGTGTACTAAATTTCAGTGGACGATTCTACTGATAAAAAAACAAAGTTCCTATAAATATACAGGTTGTTAATTATTCGCGGCAAGAGCTTTATGGTTGAAATATGGCAACCTCGGCCCGCTCGTCGACAGACTACGCGACGGGACGAGTCAGCAGAAAACCCTATAAGTGCATGCGTTCTCAATAGGCAGTGTTGCCATTCTGTTCCTCTATAAGTAACTGTCCAGTTAACAACCTGTATAGTCAATAGGTTAAGTATGAGTGGCTCATAGAACCAGACTTCGCCTTTTAATAAGGGAATATGTATGTATTTCTGTTTTTAATAAAGTTCTTTATTATTATTATTATTATTAATATATGCCTTCAAATAGTTTCTTCTGGAAGCATTTGAACGCAGAAGGTGTAAGGTATACATTGGTATACATAAGGTAATCATTGAGGAATATTGTAGATTGTATTGAGATATACCCGGCATATTCCTGCTATTTTTTATGCGGTATTATATTTTTTATTGTATGCCGAATTTAATAACATATTATTAAAATTTGTTGGAGTACCTTAAATTAACAAAGTATACTGGTCTATATAGCGGATATAATGGTTTGTACCCAAATTAAATATACCCTGTATTTGCATTGTGTGAAAGACCTTGGGTATTTACCCAAATTTCAATATGCCGGGTGTTTATCACTATATTTAAGTGATAGCTGTAAGGGCTGTAAAAACTATCAAGGGATGTAACTTCCTCTGAAAGCATTTTATGACATATGTTCCTAGGAACTTTTTCTTTTTTTTATCTGTAGAACAAGTTTGGTACACTATTTTTTGACATCTTGTAGGATGTGATGATTTTGTAACGCATTTTATTGTGAAGTTTTATTTTTTACTAATTATTGTAAATACTAATTTAAAAAACAGCAATTTAAATAATCTTAAAATTTGATCCACTAAAAAACGCCCGTGTCGCTTCTATACAGCTAGGTAATTCTGTACCTATAATACAGAGTAAAAAAAATGAAAAATATTACTTAAACTTACCCTATCCTTGTAAGTATTCGGTACAAGTTTTGTTGTATTATTCTGTGGTAAAATTATCATGAAACCCACTGTATCTCCTTCGCCGTAACCTTTACCATAGCGTTTACCGTGCGATTCGTGAAACTTTGTGCCTTTTTTCGATCTCCACGAGTACCCGAACTTATCGTACCCCAGAGGCGCTTGCAAATTAGCGTAATCCTGACCCCAGCCCAGTCTTGTAGCCGAGCCTTCAGGCATCTCTTCTATTGTCGCTTCCCAGTACCAACATCCTTTTGTAACACCTGTTTGAAAAAAGTAATTTTTGAACAGTTTATAACAAAGACTAATAAGGACACATAACGCGCATATACAGGCTGGAGCAAAATTTGTGAAATTATAGGACGTTATTATTTTGTGCCAAACAAAGGACAATTTTAGCGATTTTTATGTGTGTTGTAAACTTTATTATAATGGTGATTTGTTCAGCTTTCACCTTGTAAAAACCGCAGCGAGAAGATAGAAGAAAACACATTTCTAGGTAATTAAACAAAAAATTAATTTTGTGCACTCCACCTGTTATTGGTCCTTGTATTCTTTAGTCATTGGTTTATAGCTTGTTTTATGCATAACTTACAATGTGTAGCCCTAATAGTGGAGTAACCCTTCTCTCCTGTTGTCGCCAGACGATCTTCTGATACCTTCAATTGAGGAGCTCGATCATGCAAAGCTAGAAGTACTGTACTTGGTATGGATGTCCGGTATAACCATCCCGGAATAGGCTTTCCAGCCCAATCTGAACTTTCGTCGAACTCCTGTCGAAATGGGGCGTGTGGATCTGGTTCTGCCAGCAAATACCTGTATCCATCTTTGTTAAATGGGTGATCGAGTGGATAGCCGTGAGCTGGTAATTTGGGAGTGGATAGATCTAAGCTTCGGCTCTTTTTACCTGGACCACCCAATTCGCCAGGGAATTTTCTTTTTGTATTCCTAGACTTTATCCCTGAAGCTTGAAAGATAAAATTTTATAGTATATAGTAGACATATAATGTAAAATACATTTAAAAATAATCACAATTGTTAATTTTACTTACGTGGTGGTCGATTTACAACTTTTATTTTAGCCATTGTATTAATAAAACGCCAATAAAAATAACAAATGAATAACACAAACTAAGCCTACATGATGACAAATATAATTTGACATACCATGTTGAATGCCCATTTCAGTAACTTTTAATGTTCCACCTTTTATCATTGCATCATAATTTGGTTTAATATGAGTCAAATCAGTATTTATCAGGCCATACATATGTCCTTCGGGACTGTCCTCATACACAAATATCACACGAATATCCTTAATCAATGTTTTGGTTACTGTAATATGCCAGGACTGAGTCACTCTCCTTGAAGTTGTTGTCAGTGCTTCCCAGTGATACTCAATGTAAGGAATAATTTCTTTATCTTTATTAAACATGTATTTTTTAGTTCCGTCTTTTGCACTGGCCTGCTGTAGATTGGCTATTGCAGTTATACACATTTGAGTTATTTCTAAAATATAATCAATGGAAAAGGGATTACAAGAGAGAAAGTCTTAATACTAACGCGCTTGGCTTTTTCTGAATGTTTCTAGACCTGTGGTTGAACAATTTTTACAATGAAAGATATAATTTGAAAGAAAAGGTACAAGTTTCCCCAACTGGTAACCTATGCATGATTCATGATACCATTTAGAACAATTTGCACACAAAAGCTCCACAATATTAAGATTCCTGTCTTTTCCACTAAAAAGGAAAGAAAAAACATACTTTTTAAGAAAAAATAACAAACTTTATTACCAATAGCAGTGTCCCTGCTCATTCATTTTATCTCTTTTTTCATCATCAGTAGATTTAATGCCGTTATCTGTTACGTTGGATAACATAGTTTCGCTATCAGTCTCGCTATTTTGAGGTCTATCGTCTATATCTAGTTGAGTTGAAGATTCAGTCTCATTACCATTTTTACTAAAAACATATTTAAACTACCAATACGAAATAATATATTTATTACTGGTACCTAAAATTATCCTCGGACATTGTTCAGTATAAAGATAAAGGTATATAAAGCTTTTGGGAAAAAAAGATGTAAATATTTATTGTAAATTCTAGTTGGTGATTTTAAACTTTCCAATAAAGTTTCCAATACATTGTTATAAAAATAAAAGGGTTACGTTCTCATTTCTCATCTATCTTCTTAAAAATATTTGCTATATAGCAGCCGACAGTGTAACCAAGATTAAATATTATGTGCTAACAGCAGCTAACAGTCACAATTTGCAAAAGAAGAATATTTTTCTTCTTTTAAAAAATTGGGTCAAAAGTAAAGAAACTGACGCCGGATAGCCTTAGCGGCTGTGGTGAATGATTTGAATTTGTAAAAAGAAAAATACATGTTAACCTATTTGCGTTATTCTTTTTTTTTAGAGTAAATAAAATAAACGTTTGCAATGGCGGATGCTGCAGCAAGACAGCTCCAATACGAATACAAAGCCGTAAGTATATTATTAAGCCTTTTTAATTGTTTGAAAAGTTTTTAAAGCTTACTAAGATTAAGACTTTTTCGTAGAACTCCAATTTAGTTCTTCAAGCCGATGTTCGTCTAATCGAACGTAGAAGTCGCGATGAAGCCACCGGAGAAGTTATGTCCCTTGTGGGCAAATTATCAAACACGAAAATGGGCGATAGGGCTCAAAGAACCAAACCGGGTAAAGCGGAGGAACGTAAAGTTAAGTAAGTATCGTTTGGTGTAATATTGCATAATTTGGGAAAGCTCTACCTTAGCGTTCATTATATTTATTTGAAATTTTAGACGCCAAAAGCGAGATGAAGCTCAATATGACTTTGCAAGAATGAAAGGGGCAACTTTGTTATCTGAAGGCGTTGATGAAATGGTTGGGATTATTTACAAACCAAAAACACAAGAAACCCGACAAACTTATGAGGTTTTGTTAAGTTTTCTACAGGAAGCTTTAGGTGATCAGCCTCGGGATATAATATGTGGAGCTGCAGATGAGGTTCTCTCAGTTTTAAAAAATGATCGACTAAAAGAAAGAGAAAAGAAAAAAGAAACTGAACAACTGATTGGTAAGAAATAAAATATTTGATATATTAAAAGTAATATATTTTTATTTTTTTTAGGGCCTATTGCTGAAGAAAGATTTGCTTTACTAGTGAATTTAGGCAAAAAAATTACAGATTTTGGATCAGATGATGTAAAAGCTTCCGTTGGTGAAGAAAATATTGATGAGACTTATGGAATAAATGTTCAGTTTGAAGAATCAGAAGAAGGTATGTTTTTATATTTAATTAATGGAAACTTATATATAATAAAAATATACACTATTTTAGAGGATGATGAGGACATGTATGGAGAAGTCCGGGAAGAGTTGGATGAGGAAGAAGGTGAAGAGGCTAGAGAAGATGGGGCTATACATGCAGAAAATGTAAATATTCTAAATTTTTTCAAATAAGTTAGTTTTAATAAATTACTATTTTTAGCTTGGAGTGAGTGTTGAAGAATTGAAAAAGGAAAAGGCCCTTCACCCCATGGACATTGATGCCTATTGGCTTCAAAGGAAGCTGTCAAAGATTTACGATGATGCTATGGTGTCTCAAGCTAAAGCTACAGAAGTATTAAATGTGCTTCGTGATGCAACAGATGACAGGGAATTTGAAAACCAACTGGTTTTGTTATTAGGTTATGACTGTTTTGATTTTATAAAACAGTTAAAAAAACACCGCAAAATGAGTAAGTATAGAGAATTCAATAAATGTTGGCTTGCAAGCCATTAAATTTCTAATAAATATTGATTTGTTTGAAACTTAGAGCCCACTTTTTCCTTCTTCTATTCTCATATCCTTGTTTAAAAAGGACAGCACACTGTTGCATTGAGTCAACAAATTGGCTTATGTTGGTAGTCATGGCAGATTTTTCTTTTTAAATCTGATATTTATCATTTTCTATTTCATTAAATTTTTTTCTAACCTGACATTTTCAATTTTATTTCGATTTTTCATTCACAAATTTGTAACTAAATCTGCTTTTTGTTTAGTTAAAACAATTTTTCATTGCAATAAAATGTCAAGACCACTAAATACTCACAACTTGTCTTGTCACTACTCAATTATTTTGAACAGGAAAGAGTCATGGCGAGTCCATTTTGCCATTAAACAGCGTTAGAGAGGTTTTGTGGCATTTATTGAATATACATAATCTGTCAACGTGTTTCAGCTCCTCTCAGTTTCTGTTTAGTCTTTAGACTGAGTAGAATCTCATAAAAATTGAAGACTAATGTTAACCAATTAGAATTAACATTAACATTTTTATTAACATTACATTTTTCATTCAGAAAACTTGCTAATAACTTCATTTAATTAGAATTTGAGTAATAATCATAGACAAAGTAATAATGTATGTAGATATAAAAAAAATTGTATATGTATTGTGTCTAAAAGTGAAGTGAAAAATAAAAAATGAAAAGTCCAAGTAAATAGACTAGCCGTGGCAACATTGCGACGTGCATTCGTCGAATATTTTAATGACGTCTCCGCCAACTTTTATTGATTTTCCTATATTTGTATTTTTTAATCAATATTGAAGTATTAATTTTAATTTTAAAACTTGTTTTTAGTTTTGTATTGTACCCTTTTGGCAAAGTCTCAGAGTGAATCTGAACGTCAGAAAATCAAAGACAAAATGTCGGAAGATCCTAGCCTTAGTCGCATATTAAAACTTTTAGAAACAGGCAGAGGTAGGTTATTAGAATTATTTATTAAATAAAAATAAATGTATTATATGAATATTAATTATTCGCAGGTGAAGATGAAACTGGTGATGACGAAAAAACTTCCAGATCCAGAAAACGGAAACACAGTAGCGACGATGACGATGTTGATGATCATGAAAAGAAACAAGTAGCTGGAAACCGCAAACTTATCGATTTTGAAGATTTGCTTTTTGCTCAGGGTTCACATTTTATGGCGAATAAACGTTGCCAACTGCCAGATGGTTCTTTCAGAAAACAAAGAAAAGGTTAGTACATAATGATAATATTCTGTGTAATGTAAATTTTTCTCTTAATAGGTTATGAAGAGGTGCATGTCCCAGCATTAAAACAGAAACCTTTTGGCGAGAATGAGAAATTGCAGGCAATTGATCAGCTTCCAAAATATGTGCAACCAGTCTTTCATGGATTTAAAACGTTGAATCGTATTCAGAGTCGATTATATAAGGCTGCCTTGGAAGGAGACGAAAATATATTGCTTTGCGCACCTACTGGAGCAGGTGAGTACTAGGGATGGGACTTTTCCCCGATATATCGATATATCGAATAGCAATAGTTTTGTCTTTAAAATTATCTATATATCAAATGAATTTGAATATGTGTCGGTTGAATATTATAACAGTAGCGGAACGCAGCTCATAGTGGATTTTTCGATATATCGAATAACAATAGGTGGCTTCGAAATTATCGATACCTATTCATAGGTATCGATAATTATCGACATATCGATAACTAAAATATATCGGTGAATTTCGACAACTTATCGATAGGTATATCCGTTATCGGTCATTTCTAGTGATTACTAAGACTCAAGCTCCCATAAATTATTTTCGTTTTCATTTTACAGGAAAAACAAACGTAGCTCTGCTCACTATGATGCGCGAAATAGGCAAACACATCAATTCCGACGGTACGATCAACGCGGACGATTTCAAAATCATCTATATCGCCCCTATGCGCTCGCTCGTACAGGAAATGGTGGGAAATTTCGGTAAAAGACTGGCCAGTTACAACATAACGGTGCACGAACTGACCGGCGACCATCAGCTGACCAGAGAACAGATAGCCGAAGCTCAAGTGATCGTTTGCACACCCGAAAAATGGGACATCATTACCAGGAAAGGGGGAGAGAAAACGTTTACTTCGCTGGTACGGCTGATCATTATTGATGAAATCCATTTGTTGCACGATGAAAGAGGTCCGGTTTTGGAGGCTCTAGTTGCTAGAACGATCAGGTAGGGACGTCAAAGAATATCGATATATATTTTTTTAAATCGATATTTATTTCTAAAATGTCTATATTTTTCTAAAATATCGATACTGAAAGTATCGATATTTCGCATTTTCGGAAATTTCTTAAGCATATGAAGTACGGATATCAAAAATCAAGCATAAAAGTTCTTTAAATTTGAATTTTAAGATTGTATCAGTTTTCGTAAAATACGAGGATTTTATTATCGATGTTTTGTAAATTTATCGAAAATTAATTTATAAAACCAGAGGTTTGGTTTTAGAAACTTTCTAATAGGGATGTCAAAAAATATCGCCATAATAAATACTGGAAGTATCGATATTTGTTGTCTAGTATTAAACGTATTAAGCATAAAATTCCTTTAAAATTCAATTTTACGATTGTGTCAGTTTTCGATCAAATTCAAGGACTTTATTATCGACGTTTTGTCAATTTTTCGGGAACTTATTTGAAGAGAATTAAGAAATTACAGAGTTTTTTAGAAATTCTCTATAGAACTATGAAGTATAGATGTGAAAAACATCGACACGAGAAATATCTATATACGATATATACAATATTTATTTTTGACAAATAAATGTATTGAACATAAAAATTCTTTAAATTCGAGTTTACAAGTGAATTTTCGACAAAAGATGAAAGAACTTTAAAAAATTTTCAATGTTCTATCGGTTTCTCCGAAATTTAATAGAAATACTAGAGAGGTTTGGTTTTTGACGCCTCTATAGGACAATGAAGTAGGGAGGTCAAAAATTATCGATACTGCATGATGTGACTATTTTTTTCTGAAAATTGACATTTTACTATTAGGACTATCGAATCTACTCAAGAAGACGTCCGTCTAGTTGGATTATCTGCCACCCTGCCCAATTATCAAGACGTTGCCGCTTTTCTTCGCGTCAAACCTGATTCCGGACTGTTTTATTTCGATAACAGCTTCCGACCAGTGGCTTTAGAACAGCAATACATCGGCGTCACAGAGAAAAAGGCCACAAAACGCTGTCAAATAATGAACGAGATCGTTTACGAAAAAACAGTGGAGCACGCCGGAAAAAATCAAGTTTTGATTTTCGTCCATTCCAGAAACGAAACTGGTCGGTATATTTTGATAAATTAACAATTTAAAGTTAATTACATATTTTTTAGGTAAAACTGCAAGAGCTATTAGAGATATGTGTCTAGAAAAAGATACTTTAGGTCAGTTCCTTCGCGAAGGTTCGGCCTCCATGGAGGTACTACGAAGAGAAGCTGAACAAGTAAAAAATAATGAACTCAAAGATTTGTTACCATATGGTTTTGCTATTCATCATGCCGGTATGACCAGAGTGGACAGAACGTTGGTGGAAGATCTGTTTGGAGATAGGCACATTCAAGTAAGAATTTTCTATATTTCTTATGATATTTTATGATTATTGTTGTTTAAAAGGTCACTATGATGCCGTTTTTTTTTCAAATATAGATTAATGTTTCTTAATCTTTTAAGGTACTTGTATCTACCGCCACACTAGCCTGGGGTGTAAACTTACCAGCTCATACCGTAATTATCAAGGGTACTCAGATATATGACCCTACTAAAGGGCGTTGGGTGGAATTGGGGGCCTTGGATGTTTTGCAGATGTTAGGTAAGTTATTTTTTATTTTCATTTTAGCCTATTTTATGAAATAATAGAATACTGCATGATTGAATAAAAACAAAGTCAATGTAGGCATAGAAATAGCATTTATGCTCACGCCTTACTATCTATGAAATTCTTGATGGTGGCGATGGCGTTGAAAGTTTTTATTACAATTTTTTTATTTTTCTATTGCGACGTCTTTATTTGATCATAAACAAACATTTCTACATAATGCAATGGATACTATATATGTTTAAATTATGCAAGTAACCAACTAAAAATAATTATAATAGCATTTGATCGAAAAAAAAACGGTGTCAAAGACGGCTGAGGAATGAAAATCGATGATAATTTTGGCGAGGTCAATCCTCAACGCCAATTGACATAAAAATTGTCAAAAGTTAATTATATTTTAGACAGATTAACCCTCAACTGGCGTGGTGAATTTTTGTAACGCTTATGGCATGCTGGGGTCCGACGGAGCCCAATTTTTTTTTCGTATTAAAATACATTATGAAGAGATTTTATAAAAAGCTTGTTATTTTAACACTGTTTACAATATATTTAAACTTGTGAACAAACAGTTTCATTAATTTTCAACAAATTAATAAGAACAGACACAAAAATAAAGTAAAACGCATTTTTTAGGATTTTTTGACAACAGAAAATATAACTTAGCTAAGGAACCCATAGAAATTAAAAACATATATATTTTATGATTTTACCGTATCATTAAAAGTACAAACAACTGAAATGTGAAGCTAAAGTAATAAACATAAATTATTTTCAACAAAACTGCAAACCTTGAATGTGCATAACTTTTTCAAATACAGTTCATGCTAATATAGGATCTGCATTTGCCGCACATGGATCGTGCACATTTGATTCATGAGATTTTTGTTTTTTTGTCATTTCTTGACATATGGTTGCCATATACCACATCTCTTCCTTTTCTGGTATTAGATTATTCAATTTTCTCTTTTCTATAAGTAAGAGATTCAGAATCAGAGTTATGGTTACTCTTCGGAGAAAAATCAATGTCTCGATGGTCTTCATCTCACATAAGCCTCTTTAAGTTCATCAAACCACTTAATTAATGCTTCCTCAAAATTAACGTCCCAGTGAGGCACACTTTTTAGACTACCCACCATCATAATAATGTAACATTCTTGGCGTGATGGTGGCACACAGACCCCAATTAAACTTTAGTTTAGCCTCCGCTGATAGGAACAATAATTGATAAAATCAAGTGCGCCTTTAACAGTTGCATATTGGTACCCTAACTTAAAGGTAAATGGCGCGGCGAGGCCTAATTCTTAAACGTAAACATTTTACAGAGGTTTAAATAGTGCTTGGGGTTCGCTGGACACCACCACGCCAGTTGAGGGTTAAAAAAGGATAGAGATATTCTAGACACACAAATCTTTTTCCAAAAAAATTGTTTCCTGGAATTTTAAACTACAACATTGAAAAATTATTTTTACACAATATAAAAATAAATTACAACCTTAGGCGCCATTAAAAAATTAAGTAGAGAACGGGCCAAGTAACAGGCTGAGCTGACGTCTAAGTCTTGATCTCGCCAAAATTATCATCAATTATCATTCCACTGCCGTCTTCAACGCCTGTTTTTCGATTGTATGGTATTTGTTATATACTCTAGCGTATATTTTGGCATCACGTAGATTGCGATGTGTAATGTTATAATGACATGAAAAGACCTAAACTTATTAATTTGTCAATTTCTAACCTTACAAAATTCTAGGTCGTGCCGGTCGACCTCAGTACGACACCAAAGGAGAAGGTATACTTATAACTAATCATAGTGAGCTCCAATACTACTTGTCTTTACTCAATCAGCAGCTTCCCATCGAGTCCCAGCTTGTATCCAAACTACCCGACATGCTTAACGCCGAGATAGTTCTCGGTACAATTCAAAACGTTCGCGACGCTGTCACTTGGCTGGGATACACCTACCTTTACATCAGAATGCTACGTCAACCGTCACTGTATGGTATTACACATGATCAGATGAAACATGATCCATTATTAGAGCAGCATAGGGCTGATTTAGTACATACAGCCGCTATGCATTTAGACCGAAGCGGATTGGTGAAATATGACAGAAAACTTGGACAGTTTCAAGGAACGGAATTAGGAAGAATAGCTTCACAGTATTATTGTACTCACGAAACTATGATGACGTATAATCAACTTTTAAGACCCCATTTGAGTGACATTGATTTGTTTAGAGTGTTTTCTTTGTCAGGGGAGTTCAAAAATATAGCCGTTCGTGAAGGGGAACCCGGGGAATTACAGAAATTGATGGAAAGAGTCCCTATACCAATCAAGGAAAGTATGGAAGAGCCTAGTGCTAAGGTTAACGTGTTATTGCAAGCTTACATATCGCAATTGAAGCTGGAAAGTTTTGCGTTAATGTCCGATATGGTGTACGTCACTCAGTCTGCTTCACGACTTATTAGAGCGATATTCGAGCTTCCAACTTTGGCGTTAAAGTCTCCCATCACGATCATCATGTCTGATTTTTTTATCGCATTAAGGGTAGTGTTCAGTGTTTCATAAAATATGTCTTTGTCTTCATCGGTGGAGGGTTCAGTTGGAGCATAGCACTGTACAATTGTAAGATTTCTGACTTTGGTTTTGAATCCTGTTATCAGGATTCTGTCATTTATTGGATTCCATTCTATAAGGCTTTTGGTGAGGTTTTTAGTTATGAGAAGAGCCACTCCGTTTGCATGTTTTTCATTAGGTGGTTTACCAGAGTATAATAGTAATTCTCCTGAGGCTGAGTGATGTTCTCCAAAGCCGTTCCGACGCGACTCGCATATTCCCAAAATATCTAGACGATAGTTGTTCATTTCATGAATGATTTGTGCCAAACGAGTCGCTTCCAGCATAGTTTTGACGTTCCAATTACCAATTCTTGCCCGTTTTTTCGCGCCAATGTTCGTCATCGTAAGATCAATCCGGTTTTCTCTCTTTTCAGTTTCAGGAATCAATAGTTTTAAGATGGGCAGGGGATTAGCCTTCCGCATCCGGACGTCTAAGTCTTGACCTCGACAAAATTATCATCAATTATCATTCCCCTGCCGTCTTCAACGCCTGTTTTTCGATTGTATGGTATTTGTTATATTTGACATTACCGCGATACACATATAACTGTATACTCTAGCGTATATTTTGGCATCACGTAGATTGCGATGTGTAATGTTATAATGACATGAAAAGACCTAAACTTATTAATTTGTTAATTTCTAACCTTACAAAATTCTAGGTCGTGCCGGTCGACCTCAGTACGACACCAAAGGAGAAGGTATACTTATAACTAATCATAGTGAGCTCCAATACTACTTGTCTTTACTCAATCAGCAGCTCCCCATCGAGTCCCAGCTTGTATCCAAACTACCCGACATGCTTAACGCCGAGATAGTTCTCGGTACAATTCAAAACGTTCGCGACGCTGTCACTTGGCTGGGATACACCTACCTTTACATCAGAATGCTACGTCAACCGTCACTGTATGGTATTACACATGATCAGATGAAACATGATCCATTATTAGAGCAGCATAGGGCTGATTTAGTACATACAGCCGCTATGCATTTAGACCGAAGCGGATTGGTGAAATATGACAGAAAACTTGGACAGTTTCAAGGAACGGAATTAGGAAGAATAGCTTCACAGTATTATTGTACTCACGAAACTATGATGACGTATAATCAGCTTTTAAGACCCCATTTGAGTGACATTGATTTGTTTAGAGTGTTTTCTTTGTCAGGGGAGTTCAAAAATATAGCCGTTCGTGAAGGGGAACCCGGGGAATTACAGAAATTGATGGAAAGAGTCCCTATACCGATCAAGGAAAGTATGGAAGAGCCTAGTGCTAAGGTTAACGTGTTATTGCAAGCTTACATATCGCAATTGAAGCTGGAAAGTTTTGCGTTAATGTCCGATATGGTGTACGTCACTCAGTCTGCTTCACGACTTATTAGAGCGATATTCGAGATTGTTTTACATCGGGGATGGGCTCAGCTTGCTGATAAAGTCTTGACCTTATGTAAAATGGTTGATAAGAGGATGTGGCAGTCCATGTCACCTCTGAGGCAGTTTAAGAAAATGCCCGAAGAAATAGTGAAGAAGATCGAGAAAAAGTACTTCCCTTGGGAAAGGTTATATGATTTGGGACCCAACGAAATAGGCGAATTAATCCGTGTACCGAAACTTGGCAAAACTATCCACAAATACGTTCATCAGTTTCCTAAACTTGAACTGTCCACCCATATACAACCAATAACCAGGTCCATGTTGAAGGTGGAGTTGACTATCACGCCGGACTTTCAGTGGGACGAGAAATTGCACGGTAACGCTGAGGCCTTTTGGGTTTTCGTCGAGGATGTCGACTCGGAGGTGATACTGCATCACGAGTATTTCTTGCTGAAATCGAAATACTGCGAAGACGAGCACTTGATCAAGTTCTTCGTGCCCATTTTCGAGCCGCTGGCGCCTCATTATTTCCTCAGGATCGTCTCAGATCGTTGGATTGGGGCGGAGACGCAGTTACCGGTTTCATTCAAGTGAGTATTGTTTTGGTACATTTGAACTACTGCTGTTTAAAGGTCTGTACGACGATCGTTTAACGTTACATCATCGTTATTTGTCAAAAATATGTTTTAGAGTGTGTCTGAGATCACTTCATATTGTTTAAAAAATTTCAAGTACGTTCCGAAATTAGTAATAGAGCGCATTCCGAAGTTAGTAGTTTTAAATAGGTATATTTGGTCTTTATTCATTTTTGTTGTGTTTCAATTTAGAATTTTAGGCGCACGTATCAGTTTTGTCTACAGTTTATTTTGTCACGTTTGCAAGTGAGAGAAAGAGTACGACAATGTATGACTGAACGTTGAACGATCGTTGTACAGACTATATTATGTATAAAGCGTTGAACAAAAAAAACAGGAGTATATCAACAAGTTGGCAAGACAGTGTGACTGATTAGACTTATTGATCAGTGGCGATTTCTTTTAAATCAAGATTTTTCTTTCAAAATACAAGCTGTATAGAAAAGTCAATAGTTGACATGCACATGATTAAAATATTTAAAGACTGAATGTTGCAATGTTGCCACTTTTTTAACTCTCACTTATACAAAGATTTTTTTATATCTACATTATTACTTTATGTAGATATAAAAAAATCTATTACTATTATTACACAAACCATTTTTAATCAAATGAAGTAATTTACAAGTTTTCGGAATGAAAGCTGAAAAATGTAAAGTTCTAATTGGTTAACAATAGTCTTTTAAGAGGTTCTACTTAAAGTCTTACAATATTTTTACCTCTCTAATGCAGTTTAACGACAAAAGGGGGTCGATATATCTCTTTCCTCTTCAAAATAATTGAGAAGAGACGAGACAAGTTACTGATTCCGACTATTTCGTGGTTTTGACATTTTATTGCAATAAAAATCTATATAACATTTTTAACTAAACAAAACGCAGATTTAGTTTCGATTTGCCAAAGAAAGCTCAGAATCAAATTGAAAATGACAAATATCAGATTTACAAAGAAAGATCTCTTGATAACTGGCAACATTAGCCATGACTACCAACATAAAGTTTTTTTATCGGTCAAATCATTAACTTGATGCGAAAGCGTGCTGTCTTTTTTTAACCAGGATATAGGATTATAAGAAAAAGGAAAAAGTGCGCTCTCTAAGATTTAGACGAAATTTTATTTATTAGAAATTTCATTTGGTAATAATTTCGACGTATTTGATGATGTGCACGCATACTTTTATTGATTTCTCTGTAGTTTCCGTCTTTATCCTTCGAATATAAAAATAATACTTGACTATTTTCTCAGTTTTTTTTTGTTCACTGATTATACAACATACATAAATGTTTTTTTTTCTACTTAGACACTTGATTCTACCCGAGAAGAACTTCCCTCCCACCGAACTTCTCGACTTGCAACCTCTACCCATCACAGCCCTAAGAAACGAGAAATACGAGTCCCTATACACCGATAAATTCCCCCAGTTCAACCCCATCCAAACGCAAGTCTTCAACTCGGTCTACAACGGCGACGACAACATCTACATAGGCGCTCCCACAGGCTCGGGCAAAACCACAATTGCTGAATTTGCAGTTCTCCGCCTGTTCGAGAAGAACCCCGACGGCAAATGCGTCTATTTGGTGCCCAAAGATGCCCTGGCCGAACTCATATTCGCCGATTGGCATCACAAGTTCGGACAGAACCTGGGCAAGAGGGTGGTGTTGTTAACGGGTGAGACGGGTACCGACTTGAAGCTGCTGGCCAAGGGTCAGATCGTGATTACGACGGCGGAGAAGTGGGACGTGCTGTCCAGGAGATGGAAACAGAGGAAGAACGTGCAGAATGTGAATTTGTTCATTGTGGACGAGTTGCATTTGATTGGTGGTGAAGATGGGCCTGTTATAGAAGTCGTCTGTTCCAGAATGAGGTATGTTAGAAGCTTACTTCGTTTTTTTTATTGCTGATTATTTATTTTTCCAAAAATACATAGAGGCACTATTATGAGTATAGAAACAGTGTCACATAATCCAAAACAAAAAAAGTATTAACAGTTAGCAGCATATACATACCGGGTGTTTTTCAAAAGTAACTCGCTCTTATAACTTTTTTAAATAAAAAAACGAGGTTTGGTCTGTATGTATATGATATAAATCTGGATTGATTGGCGTATTCAATTAGTTTCGGAAAACTTCTTTAAAAATTTCAACTAACTTCCTGTTTCACCGGAAATCACTATAACTTTTGATTTTTAATTGGTTCGCCCTCGGTACATATTTAATTTATTTGATAGGATCATATGTGAACTTTTGACATCTTCGCCTGAAAAACAGTATTTTAAATTTCAATCTAGAGCGCCATGGATGTGATAAAACCACTAATATTTAATCAAGGGGCCTTGGAAAAATGGATTTGATTGTCTAATGTTTTTCATAACTTTTCCTGACCAGTTTAAATATACCCAAATCGTATTTTTAATCATAACTCAAAATTTTAAAATGGAATGATGGTAGCTTAGTAGCATATTTTTGGAAAAAGCATTTTTCAATGAATAATTTGGTACCAAACACATGGTATTTCGTGTCAAATTGTCATTATGAATTCAGCCATTGCTCTGTAGATTGACATTTTAAATACAATTTTTTTAACCGAAAATGTCAAAAGTTGACATATGGGATTATTCTGATTGTCATTTTCAATAGAATAAAGTAAAAAATATCGAGGATACCTTTTAAAAATCAAAAGTTGTAGACATGTCAGATAAAACAGGAAGTGACCCAATAGAATTGAATACGTCAATCGATCCTGTTTTATGTCATATACTAAACTACCAATTCTCGTTTTTTTCGTTTGAAAAAATAAAAACTTATAGGAGTGAGCCACACCCTATTATTACTAGTTGAAAAACACCCCGTGTACAGAAATACAAATATATAAATAAAAAATTCTAGACCTGGCAACTATGGATTATGTATCAAGATGTTACTTAACGCTCACAGAATTACTTTTTAGTAATTTATAATAGCTTACTTCGTGTGTTTCTTATGACCGATTCTGTACCAACCTAGAACTCTACAGTTCATGTGCAGATGAAGAAAATTTTTCCAAAAAATGTACTTTTTTATAGATATATCTCGTCTCAAATCGAGAAACCAATCAGAATCGTAGCCCTCAGCGCTTCACTCACCGACTACAAAGATGTAGCTCAGTGGCTGGGTTGCAACACCAACGCCACCTTCAATTTCCATCCCAGCGTACGACCGGTACCACTCGAATTCCATGTGCAAGGCTTCAATTTAACCCATAATGCCTCAAGACTCATCGCCATGGGTAAACCAGTGTACAATACTATCGTCAGGCATAGTCCACATAAGCCTGTTATAATATTTGTGCCTACTAGGAAGCAGGCCAGGCTTACAGCTATAGATTTATTGACTTATGCTGCTTCAGAAGGTCAGTCCAATAAGTTTTTCCATGCTGAAGAAGAGGACATCAAACCGTTCTTGGATAGGATGACTGATAAAGTAAGATAATGTTTTTATTATTTTGTTAAAGGTTGAAATAACCTCTTGTACATTTGAACTACTCTCAGATAAACATCTTTTTATATATGTCTACGATTGCTCTAACATCTTGTACGTTTACATAAGTTACGCTGTTAATACTACTGTTAATAATCAAATTTATTCTTTTTCTAGACTTTGAAAGAAACTTTATCACAAGGAGTAGCGTACATGCACGAAGGTCTTACCGCTGCAGATCTACGTTTAGTGGAACAATTATTCGACTCTGGAGCAGTGCAAATAGCCGTAGTCACTCGCGATTTATGTTGGGCAGTCAATATATTCGCTTATTTGGTCATCATCATGGACACGCAATTTTTCAATGGTAAAATCAAATATTTTATATTTTTTTCTCAATTTAATAACAATTTTTTTTGCAGGAAAAATTCACGCCTATGAAGATTATCCTATCACTGACGTTTTACAAATGGTCGGTAGAGCAAACAGGCCTCTGGAAGACGACGATGCCAAATGCGTGCTGATGTGTCAGTCCTCAAAGAAAGATTTCTTTAAGAAATTCTTGAGCGATCCTTTACCTGTGGAAGTAAGTCTTTCAACATTTTTTATGATCAAGAACAAATAGATCAAAGTTTTTTTAACAAATTGTATAACTTTTAATATATAGTTTTTCTCAAATAACTATTCCCATTATGGCGGAACACTGTTTTTTAATGTAATACCAGTATTACCTCAGAATTACCTACTACTTACTGTCGCTTCTATATAGCTAAGGTATTCTGTGGTCTATTCAAGATATCAAATGTTAAAAAGGGAAAATTTTAGTGATTTCTTCATTAACTCATCATAAATTATTTTCAGAGTCATTTGGACCACAGATTACATGACCACTTCAACGCCGAAATCGTAACAAAAACTATCGAGAACAAACAGGACGCTGTCGATTACCTAACCTGGACGTTCCTCTACAGGCGTCTCACGCAGAATCCCAATTACTACAATTTACAGGGCGTCAGTCACAGGCATTTATCCGATCATCTCTCTGAACTGGTTGAGAACACTCTGTCAGATTTGGAACAGTCTAAATGCATCAGTATCGAAGAAGAAATGGACTGCGTGCCTTTGAATTTGGGCATGATCGCTGCCTATTATTACATCAATTATACTACCATTGGTAAGTCAGATATAGTTGGATTTATTAAAAATACTGCATGATAATAAGTGAGATAATAAGGTACGTTCAGAAATTAGTAATGAGCGCGTTCCGATTTTATTACTTCGGTATGTTTGATTTTTATGCATTTTGTGTTTCAAGCTATAATTTTTGGCGCACGTTAGTAATAAACATTTGTTACAAACGAGTTCGAATTTTGTTTGACAGCGCAATTGATTACTGATCTTGACACTAATATCTTAAAGGTTCATAACAACAAAAATCAAATGTCAGTTGCTAGAAGCTATGATTGTTGTACAAACTTTAATTTCTAATTAGTAAAAATTTAAAGCTTAAAATAAAATAATCTGTAGAGTTTAGACTATTTTTTTACTTGTTCTGGTTTGGTCTAATATTATAGCTGAGTATTTTTCACATGCAACAGCAGTTAAAGTCTATTCAATGAATCAGGGAGGATTTTGACAGACGACATACAAAAAATGACAGAAAATATAATTTGCCTGTGAATGAAAATGACAGACACCACTGTCACCGTCAAGGATCCTCCCCTTGGGCGGATTATACTTTGCTAGGCGATCCCCAACATTAGGTTGTATCCTTGTTAATATGTTAACTAGTTATTCAGCGTGAGTTAGCTCTGGGAGTTCACTGATAAATGGCTACGAGAATTGCATCGCGGGTCTTTCAAAAATTTAAATTACTAATTAAATGGGACAATCGCAAGAACGGTAAACTAATAAGAATTAGTAACCTATAGTCTGTCCAACGAGAAGATCCTTGACAGTGATAGATGTGTCTGTCATTTTAATTTCAAAGTAGTTTATTTTATTTTACAAAGAAATAAGTTGGTACAACGTTGGTACGCATAGCAGGAAATTAATATATTATGTATTTAAAATTTGACTGACAAGTAACTTCAGAATATTGTGAAAAAAACTGAATAAAACTGAAAAAATGTAATCGAGTTATTTTATTTAATAAAAAACGGTATGTGTTAATACAAAACAAACAAAAACAAGACACCACATACCAAAAAATATAAAAAAGAACTATTTCTTACTTTCAAGCTTTATGAAACTTCTCGCATTTATGATTATATTTATCAATATAACTTATGTACAAATACAAATTTGTAATATTCCGCAGGAATAAATAAAACAACATAAATAAAACAAACTATTTTATTAATAATAACACCAAATTTTATACCTCACAGGTTGATTAATTAACTTTAATCTTAATTTTTTTAAACCAGTACCTTTTGACATTATTTTTCTGCAGTACTAAAATCCATTATTTACCTATCGTGTGATGTCGATATTTTACAGCTACTCCAGTGTTTAGTATGGTCCTTCTACCATACCATATTCGAGATGCACTTATCTACGACGAGATGGTATACGAACTTTATTGATGGTAACTTTATTGGTGTTTAAGACTTTCTGCCTGGGCAGCGAGTATTAACCATAAACTGTGCTCTGGGTCTACAGTTAATTTTCACTCGATTTTTCCTCCACTTGACTTCAAAAGACACAAAACACACGTAATAATACTAATCAAAATGCAGGGTATTTAACAAAAGTTGACACAAAATTATAACCTATAATTTTGCAAGACTTTGACAAGCGTCAAAAATGACAAAAATCTAAAGGCGAGTTCATACGCATCGGCGTCCGTTTGTCGTTCATCGTTCCGTCAAACCAATAAAATTGAAATACGGTCTGTCATTTTTTAAATAAACCAATAAAACTAGATAAAAACAACAAGACACGACGCATGACGGATTTATATTTAAACCCATCCATAGATAACTTAAAAATTATTAGAAACTTTTTTTAGTAAAATAAATAGATTGGTATGGGACGTCATCTGCTTTTCTTCTGTCATCGTCTGTCGAAATCTTACCTGAGAAAAAAAACAGAGTATAATAAGTTTACCGTTCTTGCGAATTAGTTTACCGTTCTTGCGATTGTCCCACTTAATTAGAAATTCAAATTTTTGAAAGACCTGCGGTGCAATTCTCGTAGCCATCTGTCAGTGAACTCCCAGAACTAACTAACGCTGAATAGCTAGTTAATATATAAACAAGGGTTATATTAATTTAAATCGGAATAGTGTAATATATTAATAGTGAATGAATAAAGTATTATCATTATTACTGATTACGACTTTCAGAACTGTTCAGCTTATCGTTAAACAGCAAAACAAAGATAAGGGGGCTGTTAGAAATCATATCATCGGCTGCAGAATACGAAGACATTCCAGTAAGACATCGCGAGGATAATATTTTGAGACAGTTAGCTCAAAAGTTGCCCAACAAGCTAACCTCGGTATCTGGAGGACAACCGAAGTTCAACGATCCTCACGTTAAAACCAATTTACTTTTACAAGCCCATTTATGCAGGTAATAAAATATTATATTATTATTAGGTTATGCTGTTGTAATGAGTGATTCTTTGAATGTTTCTTTCATATATATGTGATTGATTGTTGTATTATCATTTATATAGGCTACAGTTGAGTGCAGAACTACAGGGTGATACGGAAATAGTCTTAGCCAAAGCCATAAGATTAATCCAAGCCTGCGTCGACGTACTAAGTTCAAACGGTTGGCTATCACCAGCTGTAGCCGCCATGGAATTGGCTCAAATGGTTACGCAAGCCATGTGGAGCAAAGATTCCTATCTTAAACAACTACCCTACTTCACACAGGACATTATCAAAAGATGTACAGACAAGGTAAACACATTTAAATAATAAATTAACGATTTTTTTTCATTTAAAATTTGATTATAGAGCGTGGAGACTGTTTTTGATATAATGGAACTGGAAGATGAAGACAGAACGAAACTTTTGGGTCTGACAGATAGTCAGATGGCTGATGTAGCGAGATTTTGCAACAGATATCCTAACATTGAGCTGACCTACGAGGTGTTGGATAAGGATAAAATCCATTCAGGATCGTCTGTTCATGTAGCCGTTCAACTAGACAGAGAAGATGAAGTCAATGGCCCAGTGATTGCACCATTTTTCCCACAGGTATTGTATTTTATGGTTTAAAAATTGGCTGTGAATTTTACCTTTTATGATAATTTACACGTTTAGGTTATGCTGTTGTAATGAGTGATTCTTTTCACAGTTAACCTGTCCGTGATATTTTAATTACTGCCACTTTTAACCTTTGGTTGTCATGCTACTCTTGTAGTTTTCTATATTAACTAGGGAATTCTTTCTCATAGATATATACTAATTTAAACTCACGATAAAATACTTAACGAATTTATTTTTTCTCACTCTGTACACACAATTTATGCAATACTATTACTCTAACTTTTCTGGCACCTTCGCCAATTAATTCACATTTTAAAACGCGGTATTATCAAGCTTCAAACTGTCTTTGAAGACAGTTGACTGCCGAGCGCGGGCTTTATATACTCTACTGACTGTTTCTCGAACCTTCTGTAATTTTCGATACTTTTCTGCCATCTACTAGTAAATTTTATTGTCTGATTCGCTTACTTGTCGACTTGATTAAGAGATGGCGCCTAAAAATGTCTTTTACTTTCTGGTGAATTCGCCAGGTTTCTCAATACACGCTGCGGTTTAGTTTTCCACATACACCTTAACAAAATTATCTCTAAATTTTTTTGTTTTTTAAATTAGTGTTTAATCGTAAATACATGATTAATAGATAAAAGTAACTTCTACCACAGATTAAATAAAATTGTTTTTTATGACAATGTGCAAACGAGTAAAATTTCCTGTGCGCAAAAATAAACTCGCGTAAAATAACAATAAACAGCGTAATAGAGAGATATCGCTAAACCGAATAGCGTGCATGAACGTTAATAAGGCCAGGTGTTATTTCCTTTACGTGAGGTGGTATTAACTCTCTTCATTTATAGTTATCGGATCGGAAAGAATTCTGTTCGCGTCGCGTCCGCTATTTAAACTTAACCTAACTTTGAATTTAAAACTTTGAAATTGTTTTGTTTACTAGGTATTTTAAAACTAAAGGGCTAAGTGCTTATTTCCAGTGCTTTATTGTTCAACGTCTGCCAGTGGGTTTAGGGCAACAAGCAACAAATTCTCTTAGAAGGGCTAAGTCGTCATCTGCTGTAAACCTAAGCCTCTTTGTAGGTTCTTTAATATTGGAAGAGATGGAATCCATATTTTGGGCCATATTTATTTAATTAAAACTAATCCCAGCTACTTAAATATCAAATTACCTAATAAAACTAAAGTAATAATTCAAAACAATTCAAACATAACCTAAAATAAAAGATCTCGCCGGCCGGTCCCGGTTGTCAAATACCCGCACATGTCCATTTAAGCAATTTTTAAACGTTATTTAGAAATAGCGCTTGGTGTAATTGATCCAAATTACGTCAGGCGGTAACGTTATTAGCGGGCGTTGCGTTAAAAATTGACTCGCGCATATCGTAACCATGATAAGGTACGCATAAATACTGCAAGACGCTATTCGGTTTTCCGATATCTCTTTAATAACTGTGCCGGTCAGGCGCTGTGCACAATTTTAGAGGCCATAGGTGGGCGTGCTATGTGCGCAAACTAGTAACCTAATTAGTGCCCGATTCCGAAAATTGGAAGTACGAAAAACGATAAAGAAAAAACAAAGTTTATAATCTGTATAATCTGTGCTTCTACTCACTCTACTAACATTAAAAATAATAGATAATATATAAAAGAAAGTTAAAAATCACAAGATTGAACTAGAAGCATTCTACTTGAACGAGCTAATTCTGTGCATACGGCGCGTAATAGTACGAGAGCTAGCAACGTCTGGAAAACAAGTATTTTAAAGTTTACTCCGAGCCGGTATTGAACTCTGGACTTCTCGCTTTATAGGCTGAACGTTTTCGCGCCACGCTATGGAGACTTGTTCGATTTATATTCAATACTAGTATTTAACGGAATAAATAGAAAAAAATGTAGGATCTTCTTTCGATGCGGAGTAATGAACGCAACGTCTATCGGCAGCCAGACGACTCGCACGCTTTTCCAGAGAGCATAGCAAAAGATATATTAAAGAGCCAGCTTTCTTAAAATACTTTCTCGAAAACGTTACTAGCTCTTAGACTATAATGCAATACTGCCCATGTTAATCTTATGGTGTTATAGGATTTTCGACTTCACGACTAATGGCGGATGTTATAGCCATTCAGAATTTTATTTTTAAACTGTTAACAGCTTTGACTACTTTTATTTCACTGTGACACTATTAGAAGCAGTAATTTTCGGCCTATTCTCTACATAATACATTTTGTCAGTATCTAATATAATAAATTAATTTCAGAAACGTGAAGAAGGTTGGTGGGTAGTTATCGGTGACCCAAAAAGCAATTCTCTCTTATCTATCAAAAGGCTGACGTTACAGCAGAAGGCCAGGGTAAAACTGGACTTCGTAGCACCCAGTCCGGGCCATCACAGCTACACCCTGTATTTCATGAGCGACGCTTACCTGGGATGCGATCAAGAGTACAAGTTCTCCATCGAAGTTGGCGACTTTGAGTCGAGCGCCAGCGACTCTGACTAGTTTATTATTTAGAAATTAAGTGAAATATATATGCATTTGTATTTTATTTCGTTCTTTGTAAACTAAAAATATATAAGAATATAGGGATAGTAATTAAGAAAGCCGTTTTTTATTTTATGTGTGTAACTTACAGTACGTTTGTCCGTTCTGTAGCTACGGGATATCCGTGAGAGGGGAAATGATATTCTCTCGATGTTCTTCGTAAAAAATTAGACGACGCTTCCCATAAATAAAAATTCGACAAATTTGCAAGTAGCCAATAAAATGAGTGGGCGGAGCGATTTGCGGTGACGTACTCGTCAAGTCGACGTATAAAATATATTGCTGTTTATTTAAATGCTTTTTGTCCGCATTCCTTTCATAGACACAGATCCAGCAGACATACTGTATCTTATAGCCATGGTATTCTATAATAGGCGTAGATTTGACAAATGCTGACAAATTATGTTGCGTTACTTTTATTTATTTTTTATTTTTGAATCTAAAAAAATATTTTTTTTTTAGTTTACCACTCATAAATGTTTTCTAAAGCTCATACAGATTATTTTCATTGGCCGACTCAAAATCTGTTCACTTTAGCCTACTAAGACGTTGGTCTCTCTCAATAGTCAATCACACAAAAACAGTCGTTGTATGGATATGACATAAATAAAAGTAGTTTATTAAATTTCAACACCTTTTGTTCAACAAAAAAAATATTCTGTAATAAAAAATTATAATATCTATTAACTGTTACCTAAACTTGAGTGAAATCTCATATATCACAACTTGTGCCTGAGTTCTTGTTCTTCAGGCAAATTGGCAAAATAACTATTAACTAATTCATCTGTAACTTCTTTTAAAGTTGAAGGTTTCCATTTTGGATTCTGGTCTTTGTCTATAAGCAACGCTCTTACTCCTAAAAATTTTGTATTAGATTTTTCAAAAGTAAACTAATATTAGGTAAAGGTGAGTTTACATACATCCTTCATGCGCTGTCCGTCGTTCCGCCACGTTAAAGGTGTGATTTCCTAGTGAGGCGCCCGCATGTCGCCGCACACTGGTTCGTTTTTACGAACGTACGTGGCTAAAACCTGTATTTATTTTATCAATGAAAGGTAATGTACCGTTTTATAGGGAAACAAACCAGTGCGCGGCAGACCGCAGGTGCCAGATGTTGCTAGAAAATCGCATCTTAAGCCATTAATTACTCCCCTCAATACCAGAAAAAGACATTTGCCTAGTTTCTGTAGATGGCGAACAGCCAGAAAAACTTCGCTTAAGAATATCGCCAGGCTAACGGCGGTATATACGGGACACTGGCCAGTTAGTGTTAGTGAACATGCTTCGTGAATGGGCATCCCTTTTAACTAAGGTCGCCGAAGCTGGCAAGGATTCAAAAGAGGGGGAAACGGTCATACATTTACTATACCGACGACCGGATTTGTATAGGAGCTTACGGGTCAGTAATGCGACTACGAACTATACCCGATTTTGGCGCGTTTTCCATTCATTTTACTAGACTGCGTTAGAGACATCTTTACTGTTGAACTAAGCCTGTGGGCGGGGCTTGGAGACCTTATGCTCTCTACATAGTATATTATGGAAATACGGGACCCAGAATTGTTTCTATAGTTTGGTATATCTTGGAGATGTTGCAGAGAAGAGCATAACGGAAGTCATCCGTTTCCTCAATGCCATGAATAGTTTTAGACACTTAAAAATATACCATACCTAGGCACAGGGTTCCAGACTGAGTGCTATCAAAACGACAATTCTGCTAATTATAGTTCGACAGGCCGTCATATATGCCAGTTTGACCAATCAACCATGATCCGATATTTTGAAAATAAACCAAGAAGATTACGTAGAAATATTGACTGACGACGCATTACGGATGCATGTAAACCCACATTCAGTCTATTAAACATGTCTGGAAAATATTGACAGACAACATCCAAAAAAGACAGAAGATACAATTTGTCTGTGACATATGTCAGTTTGTCAAGTAATTAAAACGACAGGTAACGACAGGCTAGTGCCATGTTTCCCCTAGTTAGACGGACTAAAGGTGGGTTTATAATCTTGTTTATATGCACGCGTTATGCGTCGTCCATGACGATGCGTGACGGATGCATATAAACCAATGCCTATACTATAAGTTTCTATTAAGTTGCACAATCAAAAAATAGTCATTACCTTCTGGAAAATCATGATTGTTCACACAGTTTACAGCTATTCGATATTCCATTCTTAAACAATCAAGTAAATTCAAATTTTTTCCAATCTCCAATTCTTTATAAGCTATCTTCATACTGGTAGGCGACATCTTGTTTAGAGTATTTATTGTTTCCTCGGCCCACTTCGATCCATCTTTTTCCAATCTCTCATAAACCTCCTCCACTGTTGGAGCCCCAAAACAAAAATTAATTTTTTCTAGATATGGTGCTAGAGAAAATTCACTTTTATTATCTTGATGGAACTTCGCCAATGCACTGTTGATATCATTATTTTTACACTCTAATAAAGCTTTTTCCACATTTTCTATATCTTTACTGTTAACGATATGTGTTGCTACACCAGCCCGTAACACATCAGTTCCCTTTAATCTGTATCCAGTCAAAGCTAGATACCATCCGAGCCTGCCCTGTAACCTAGACAAAAAATGTGAACCACCTACATCAGGGAATAGGCCTATTTGTGTCTCAGGCATGGCAAACAGTGTTTTTTCCGTTGCTATTCTATAGGGTCCGTGTACAGATAAACCTACTCCACCTCCCATGACAATTCCGTCTATTAATGCTATATAGGGTATTTTATAATTTCCTATGAGTCCGTTATTGGTATATTCTGCACGGAAAAAATCGTGTCCAAGTTTGTCGCCTTTAAATGCTGCTAGGGCTATGGCTTTAACATCACCTCCAGCACAAAATGCTTTACCTCCAGCACCTATTAACGTGTTTTAACATTTAATGTTAAAAAGATAAGGGTAAGTATACACAAACCTTTTATAATCACCAAAGACTTTTCTGATTCCCATTTCTTGAGAGCAGGATAAATTTTGTTTACCATCGATAAATTCAAAGAATTTAAAGCTTTCGGTCGATTCAGTATTATTATTCCTTTGTCTCCTACTTCTTGAGTTATAACGTCGCTTTCCTCGGTGGACATTTTTCGAATAGTTTTGAGGAGGCCTGCGAATTTTGGTGTTCTAGCCGAAAATATTTGTCTGGACAACTAAAAACAAATGGAATATTTAACAAAAATTATTCAAAAGTACTTGAAAATGACAAACCATCATGAAGGGTTTTGACTCTATTGATAATTAACTTAAAACATTAATATTTATTTTTCTTTCATTAACCTTCGACCATTTCAAAATTTGAGGCACAGATTTGAGGTTAACATTTTAATTGTTGTATATCTTTTTTATGACGGTCTGATGTAATTTTTAAAACAATTTGGGTAATTTATATTTTAAATACCCAATATAATAATAAATGTTACGTAAATAATATAATGTTTTTCTCATATAATCAGTTCAGATTTGATGTAACAAATTAAGCAATATTTTATTTCATTATCTTCTAGCAAAATTCTATATTACCAGAGATATTACCATATTACTTACTTTTTCTAGCTAAACTTTTATTAAAAAACTTTCTGATTCGTCACCAATCATGTAGTTAAATATAAATAACTTCTGCCCTAGTTTTTTAGGTAATCAATGAATGAGTTAATATATTTTTTTATAGGTAATTTCTATTTTAATAAGCCTTGTTTATATAAGATGTTAATCGATATTTTTGTGTCGAAGGAAGTAGAATTCTCCTACATTTATTAAATATAGAAAGAAAAACCCAAATTTACACTTCACACAAACTGCCTTTATTTTAAACTTAATAGAAAAGTTAGATTACAACAAACTTAAAGTACGTCTCTTAAAAGCTAATTAATATAAAAAAAACAGTATAAAAATAATTTATGACTTACAAACTAAACAAAATGGAAAATATATGAACTTATATTAACGAAGGAAACAGCTCAGAGACGCTCTGATCCCACTGGTCGACATCAGAACAACTCTGAGGCGAATCTATCGATTCATATCCCAGATCGGACTTAGGTGACAGATCTCCTTGGTCGTGCCGTGGAACAGTCAAGAGAGTACTCTCATTTTGAGGAGTATTTCCTTGACTCAACACCGCAAAATCATCACCGATCACCACTTCGTTTAGAGGAATGCTGTCTTCATTGATCAATATTGTAACTGGTTGTAATGTTCCATAAAGAACTTCAGATTCGACAGGCATCTGGACGATTTTCCTATGCTTTGGTCGGATAGTTTTCAGTTTTCTTATACTGGGTGTTGATTTAGTGCATCGAGACGTACTTTTTGACTTTCCCGTTGGTCGGGATTTGGCGTAGTTATGGTGAAGCAGTAGGTACTCTGAAATATCTCGTTCCAGAGTGCTTTTCGACTTGCTGTCCTCTAGCTTTTTACTTCTACCGGGTTCCAAGACTTCTGATGCCGTCCCCACCATTTGCCCAACTTGATTTTCTGATCTAATGGCATTTGCTGTGTGTTCCTGCAAAAAATAAACAATTAGTTTATGATTTTAATCAAAAGAATTACTGATTATTATTACTCAGTGACTGTTTAGAAAAAATACAGTCTGTCCAACAAGTCGGAGAAGATTTTGACAGGTTTAGATTTGACAGACATACAAAAATTACACAAAAAAAAATTACCTGTGAAGCCTCTCAAGCCCCGTTCTCAGAACAGCGATTGTCGCCAGCGACACGTCAAAAGGACCAATGAGATTTGTACAAAATTCAAACAGCTGTCAATTTTAAATTTAGTACAGCTCTCATTGGTTGTTTGAAATGTCAAACTGTGTCGCCCAACGTCATTCTGAGAACGGGGTTTCATTTGCTGTCCTCCATTAGCGACTTTCAAGTTCCAGAGCTTTACGCCCTGGGCTAATCGAGAACAGTTCTGAAAGGAGCTGTGCGCGATAGCCTGGTGCCTCCATATGACGCGGAACAGTTCTGAACTTTATGACTCAATTGAATGGAGTGAGAGTATCGCGTTCTTGAACAGTTCAGAGCTGCACAACTGCGTGAATGGAGGACAGTAATTGTCAGAGCTATTTTATGTCGACACTTCAAAGGACCAATGAGATTTGCACATAATTCAAACCGCAGTCAAATTTTAATTTAGTACACCTTTTATTGGTTCTTTCATGTGTCGCCAGCGACAGAACGTGTATTAAAATTACAGACACAACTGTCACTGTCATGGATCTCTTTCGGACATACTATAATTCACAAAATCTGTATACAGTATAATTCATGCTTATACAAGAACAAAAACAATAAAAAAAAGTGTAATGTGTTTGTGTAATAGACGAATACATTATGTGCAACTTTTTGATTTTAAACTTAGTTCTTATTTGATTCTTTTACCTTTCCTTAAAAGGATTATTTATACCGTCAACACATCTAAAAGAAAAACAAGAAATAGCAGTGTTTTATATGATTGTGTAAACTGTAGGGTCTTATACTAATGGCCCCCATAGACTTCAGTTATTTTGCTTTGTTTTAACTATGCAGTTAAAACTGCGCAGGTAGCACAAGCACGGGCAAGCAACCTCCACCACTGTTAAGAACAATAGATGGCTAGAAGTGGCGGTGGTAATTGCGGTAAAAAAAAATCCAAGACAGAAATAGAAGAAAATGGCGCAATGCGCTGAAAAAAAATATCAATATCAAAAAAATTTGTATCGGGTAGGAACGACTGGGTCGAACCGCATCGCGTGGTTAAAACATCTGGCGAAGACAGGTATTGAGGGAATGGTCAAAACTGGACCAAACGCTCTCCTACACGACGTTTTTACAACAGTCCAACCCTTTCAGTTAAAATTGTGCAAAATAACTGAAGTGTATGGGGGTTACTGAAAAAAATAGAGAATATAACGAACCTGTTGAGCTGCTTTTTCTGAAGCACTTTCGAGATCCCTCGCAATGTCTTCGAGCAGAGTCTGTGTGAGCTGTTCGAGGGCGTTGAGATCGACCGACTCTGTGTCGAGCTCTTCGAGGAGGTCTGGTAGAGAAGGCAGGCTGCCAGGATCACCTTCAATAGGGCCGCTTTGCGTCGTCTCTGCTGCGCCAAAACCGCTGCTGTGTGCATGACCGTTCCTCTCGGCCGAAGGAGGGACTCTGTCGATCCTCTCTCGGTCTTGCACACGACAGGCCGGTTTTGGCAGTGACACTGTTCGATACCCTGGAAAAAATAAAACAATAAATATATACCATCTTGGATACTTTGTACTTGTAAGCAAAAATAGGCAAAAAAAATCAACAGAATATTTTTTAAATCAGTGTGACAGCCTGGCAAATATGTTTTTTTGTACATACTAGGCAATGACAGGTGATTAACAAAGATCTATATGGAGAGTTCACTCTCCAAGATCCCGGACTTTTTGAAAAGGATAAGACTGGAAATGCAGGAAAAGATCAGAAAAAAACCACAATAAATCTGAAAAGGTTGCAGTGGAACAGGCTGATAGGCACCTTGAAAAATCCTATCTAACTTTTACCTGAAGCCTTGCCTTCAGCTCTGCATTCTCTGCCTGTAACCTCTCGTTGGCCAATTTGAGTTGCTCACATTCTGCCAAAATTGTCTCGTTCTTGCTGAACAACTGTTGAATAGCACCTTCCATCTGTTCTAATTTCGCTTTCTTTCTGTCTCTGGATGTTTGAGCAGCTACTCTGTTCTTCAGTTTCCTTTAGTAACAGATGACATGATCAATGACTTTAGTAAAGAACATGACACCAATAACATAATTAGGAAATTATAAAATCAGTTTCACACTCACTTTCTTTGTATTTTTTCCTCCCAGCTAAGATGATCTAGGCGTCTTTTTCTCGCCCTTTGAGTGGGTCCATCCATATTTTCGTTCATAATGTAGTTATTATTATCGTCGTTCAAGATGTTTAAAATCGCAGGGACAGGTAAAACATTGCCTGTGTTCATCATGGTTCTGAAATATTCTTTTAAATTTCCACTATAACACTTCTAAAATTAATCGAACAATAAAAAAAGACAATATAAGGACTATTTCTTTGGCAAAATTAACTTTAATAAAATACGCTCTTGTCCTATCAACGCAAATTTTCTGACGCAACTGAAAAAAAAACAATAATCCTCTTCCATAAATCTGACGTAAACTAGTAAACCACCGTGTTCTATTCTGATTGGCTGAAAGGGAATGGTTTCAGTTATTTCAGCCAATCACCTAACGTTTCTAAGGCGGGACAATTGAAAAAATCAATTCCTATCGATCCTAGCTGGCTAACGACGCGACGCATATATTATGAATTGCACCATGTTGAGTCACGTATAATAGTAGTTTCGTTTTGTTAACTTACGAAATAGATTGAACGGCTTGAAAAATATGGTAAATTGGTTGCGTGTCGCGGGGCGTAGCCTTGGACTGACCCTGTGACCTCCTGGGAACGGCCGGAGGTCCATAATAATGACACCAAAGGATTTCGGCAACATATAATTAAGAAGATAAAAAGCCGAAAAGGTACCTTTATCGGTCGGAGATATTGGGGGATTGTTGGGATCGATATAATAAGTATTTTGGGATATCTTCATCGCGCACCGTTATTTCTTTGAGCGTTTAAAAAATAAAGATAAACGAAGCTGTATTCAAAAAGTGTCAGTTTGAAAGCTATCGCAATTGGCTTTAAACAATAATTTAATTACCAATTAAAATTAAAAGAATTTGAATTCAAATTATCATTTTTTTATTTGCTTATCAAACTCGAAATATTTTTTTCTGTTCGTATTGAGATTAAAGTTGAAAATTCTTAAGAAATTGATATCATGTTTATAAAATTTCCAAAAATGTAAGTGGCGCTTTTTGTTATCCTATTAAAAAAGTACCTCTTGGGACGCTACTGGACCATATCATTAAAAATATGCATTTTTTAAATAAAACGCTAGATATATATTCTTTTCGCCTGTTCATGCAATTTTCATTCCAAAAAAACCTACCATCATATCATTATCTATATCGATTGGTTTCTAAAATATTGACTATTTTTTCATTCAATATTCTATATACATTTAAAGCAACTTCAAAGTTAAAAATATAATAAATCGCTAATAATTATTGATGCTTTTTAACTCGTCGACTTTTTTAATACCTATATTTATACTTCTTCATAATAAAAACAAGCTAAATTTGTTATTATATGCAATCAAACCTAGACATGATGTTTTTCTCCGACACCTATGACCTATATTTTAAATAAAACACAAAATTTTATACTTATCAACAATGAACACAGCTTTTATCCAATATCACATTTAGGGGTTGGAACTTTTGGTGTTACAACAGCAAAATAAAACACTAATTTACCACAATATACTTACTTTTACACTGGACGCGCCTTTCGCTAACCATTTTAGCATCATCAGCAGATGATTAAAACCACAGTTATACTCTGTTATCTTTGTAAAACTGTGAGAAATGAAGATGATGCCGAAACGCGCGTCCAGTGCAAAAGTAAAGTGTTTTGGTGTATTGTGGTGAATTAGTGTTTCATCCAATATTTGTATATTTTTTTAAGTACTAAGTTTTCTATCTATACTGGGTGTTTCAAAAAATATGTGCCAACTCTCTTGAATAGATTCCTTTTGTAGAGATAAGATTTATTATTTTAGATCAACATAGGTTCGATTCTGCTTTGTTTCGTAGTTGGGTGTTAAAGTCTTAATTTTTTTAGATATATTATAATTTTCTTCAAAGTGCTTTTAGCGAATCGAATAAAATTTTGATGGTAAAAATTACTACCCATATAACACAACACAATCCTATAGATATCTTGAGGATATCCACCAAGGATATAGTAAATATCTTAGAGATATCCAAAAACCAGAGAGGAGGATATTTATGGGATATCCAGATGGGACAAAAAAGTCATCTTCAAGACATCCCTAGGCAAGCCTTTTACGATTATTTAGGATATTTATAGGATAATACAAGGATGATGTTGGGAGCATTAAAGAATATTTTTAGGACATTATATGAAGACTGTTATTTGACAATACTTACTTCATCCTTAGTTTATAGTAAAAACGTTCGCGATTTAGTTATATTTAGCCACATTTTGACGTTATTCATTGGATATTTTTATTAACAGCTCTAAAATATACCTACATATTATGTCAATGAATTTTGCGTCAAAATTTAGAAGTTTATTTGTATGAGTTAAGAGCTTTCAATTTATACTGTACCATCGAGAAAAAAAACGGCGTTCAATTGGCTTGAAAATTACGATCGATGACATTCCCCATATATTTTTACATACAAAATAACAGCAATCTTCATTGCCAAGCCACCTCTTACGCCGTTTTTTTCGATCGTTTGGTATTATACCAGATTATACTACCCTTTATGGAGTCTAGCAGTTTATGTCTAGCAGCAACAGTTTACATCAAAGTTAGCACACAAGATACAGGTATAATTTCTAACACCACACATTCCAGAAACTCACAATTTAAACACAAAAATAGGATTTCTATTTGAATACATCAAACACGAAAATGGGCTTAGGGATGAAGAACAATTGAAGCAAGCGTAAGAAAAAGAAGCATGAAAAGCGCTTTTCAACAAATTTTCATCTATAATTTTGTCACAAATTTTTCATTGTGAGACCCTAAGTCGTTCGTCGTTTTTCGACATTAGTTGAGGTTAGGATAGAATTTCTGCTAGAACAACGCTAGAACTATGAGTATAAAAAAAACTAAGTCAAACTCAACTAGTTTTGTTAGTTTGAGTCATTTTTAAGCCCATTCAATATCGACAAACGACCTAATTCACCTCGAATTTCACTAAATCAAAGAACTGAATAATACACGATATAAAAACAAACAACTGTCGAGATGGATTGTGGGAACTTTTTTGCACGGGCGTTTTAAATTCTCTGTATTACTGGGAGTGGCCAAGCTCATAAATATCCAGATTATCCAGAAGATACCAACAGGATATTGTGTTGCCTTGATGTAATATATATCTATCTGTATGATTTATTGCATTTTATGTAATATAAAAAGTAGTACATTATTTATTTTTCCTAAATATCTAGACGATATTGTTAGGATATTTTATTATGATGAGCATGTTTGGATATCTCAGCTGGATGTACATTAGATATACAACAGAGATATCCATAGGATATTCTATTCTGAGACATCTACAGGATTTCAGGCTGTCTGGAGGATATCCTATAGATGTCTTTATAAGATGATCTTATAATGGGACATTCCGACATTCTATGAATATCCTGCGGATATTGTGTGTTATATGGGATATATTCACAATATTTGCAAAAATCCACATTATTTCCATATTTAATTGAAGATGAACTAAAAATTTTTCAATATGAACCATGAAAAATTTGCGAACTTTCTTAGCATATTGAGTTTCTAAGCTCCTCTTCGGCTACCTACGTAGAGTGGAAGGAATTGCGTGTGACGTCAGCAGCACTAGCCGCATTTATCGAAAATCATTCTGGCCCAACAATGCTGGCCGCATTTTCGTCGATGCAATTCGTGCGGCTCTGGATAGTATGCGCACCTTCATTGAAAGTAACACAAACAATATTTTTCTTCCTTCGATGCGGCGCGTGCGGCTCTGGTCAGTGTGCGCGTACCTTAAGTGCGACATATTTTAATGCTAGAAAAATGTCGACATATATTCACCAGGGAAGTGCATATGGGTTATCGCTGGAATATTTTTCTAAAAAAACATACGCGACACTGTCTTTTATTGCTTTTGTTAGTGTTAGCAAAATTGTGCAGATTGTTTAATGGCGAATAAAAGTTGTCTATTGATATTTTGTCGATTTCGATCTCCTTGATGAGGACCAAAATGGGGAAAGATTTTTAGTAGCCGGGTAGTGTCTTGGGTAGTTTTTGCCACTAAAAGAGTTACTATGATGTGTTACTATTAAGTAGCCTACTGGTGAATGCAACTTATCCGTTACGAAACTGCCTAGTCGCAGGTTCGTGGCAGCCAGAGGCGGATACAGAAATTTATTTTAGGGGGGGCCCAAAATAAAAAGTAATGTAGAATATGCTTTTTAGGGCGCCATTTTTAACAAAAAAGCCTAATATTTAACACAATTTACAAATTTTAGGGGGGGGCCGGGACCCATGGGCCCACCCTCTGTATCCGCCACTGGTGGCAGCCAAGTGTTAGCCACCGACAAAGCCACCGACATGTGGAACTTTCGTTAAACTGTTGAACTTTATTCGCAGCGACCTCTTCATGCAATTTCACATTTCATAAAAATAAATGTCATGATGGAAAATAATTATGGAAGCCATTATTATTTATTTATTATATTATTTGTTATTTACCGTGCGATTTTAACGCCTTTTTTAGGTAAATTCCAGAACGCAATCAACTTTACTGAATAAAATAGTTGGTTTATATAACAAAATTTTCGAGCGCTTCTCAAAATATTTCAAATTATTATATTATTTGCAATAGAAACTCATGTTTGTAATTCAAATATAATAATAATTTGCTTGAAACTGGGGTCAAACTTTAAAATATTAGTCCACCGTCAGAAATAACAAAATAACTAAGGAAAAAAAGTTTTAATCTAGGTATATTTAGCTTAAAAATGCATAATGTTTGAGCCATTTGACTGTTCGTCTAAAAATTCATGAAAAAAATATGGCCGTTTGAGTTCCATATGCTTCCACAAAGTACCGGGAACAATAAACATATTAGGCCAGAGATTAGGCCAACGACCCTACCTGTTTGGACCTTTAGAATCTTCGGATTGATAAAGTGACAATTGTAGCTATCCAAAGGCGACTTTATAAAAACAATAACTTTTTTGGAACTACATGGTCAACGATTCTTTGGAACCATAGAGTGATTTTTCCAAGAAAGTTCCCTGTGCCACCAAATTGCCACTTAATTGGAGCGTTGCTACACCGATCGCGGTGGCGGCGACTATACATTCCATTGATGCCACTATAACGTTCCGCCTTGCCCTTTGATGTTATTTTTTACTTATTGTGCATTTTCTATTATTAGTGTTTCTATATTATTCAGAGCTACATGAGGTATATAGTATTTTAACGCCCACTCTTTTAGCTCTTGTTTTATATTGTTGGTTCTCAAATTAGTTCTCCTCTGAGATTCAGTTTCAGATGAACTAACACTACACTCATCTACAGAAACAGCTTCAAAAATGCCTCAGTCACTACCTGATTTATGATGTTCATAAGTAGGATTATAGGAGAATGTAGTTTTTGTTTCTGATGTTGATGCATCGGCTCGCAGTGATTCCTTTTGTTTAATTCTTCGGTAGAAAGTACTAGAATATCTAAATTCCTTTTTATTCAACTTAGGGAATTTACAAAATTTTAATAAAGCTTAAAAGCATGTAAAAGAAAACATTAAAACAGAGCAGCACACGATGCAATCTGAGACAATTACATTTATTAGGGTATATTAAGTTACGGTCACTATAAAGTAGCCGTTTTTGACTCCCGTGACTTTTTAGTGGCAATGGATGAGCGACGGCTACTTTATAGTGACCTAGGAAGGTAGCAGTAACCATTTTGCTACTTTCAATGCTACTATAAATTAGAAGTAACTAGGTGTCGTGGCCGCGACTACCCCGTAACTTAAATTGTTACTATAAAGTAAAAAAAAACTTAATGGAGGCATTATGGTAACACTTGTTGGTAACCCCTACTTTGAAAAGTTACTATAAAGTTTTTGGTCTTTTATGGTGTCATATTCGAAGATTTCGATAGTTCCAGCCACTTCTTTAAATTACATGTTTGCGACTTGCAATCGGGGTGTTTATTTTCCACTTTTATGGTAGGTAGGGATAATATGGTAGTTTTGATAATATGGCAACATAGGTATTAGATTAAATTTACAAGAAAGAAAATTCAGAAAAGATTCAGTGGTTATCAAAATTTCAGCAAAAAATATTTTTTTTTGAAAATTTTCAAAGTAAAATAACTATCCGTTATTTTGGACTTATTTGAAAAACGATAAAGAGAAAATATGTTTTTTTTATTAACCCTTAAAATACATGCACTTATTTCTGGGACACCCTGTATAATCGTTGATTTTTTTTGAATATATATGTATTGTGTCACAGGTATATTATATATTTGTAAAAAACTGTGTTATTGTAGTATTTTAAAGTGGTGTTACCAAAACTATTTTATTACTTTACTCTAGTTGCAAATTGTAATTATTTTTTAAAGCTTTTTTCAATGCGGTTCAGAGACCTGCAAAGAATTGTTTTTTTTTCTCGAAAACAGTTCTAGATAGCCATATGGTACAAGAGAAAAAAAGAAAATTAGATGGATATGAGGGCGTCAAAATAAATAAATGTAAAGATAATATAAACAGAAGTTAATGGTCCAATTCCTTCCAGTTCTCTCTTCCCAATATCACAGCTATTACTCTAGTCTAGGAATTATGTAATTCTCTCTTCCCAATATCACAGCTATTACTCTAGTCTAGGAATTATGTAATTGTTAAGCTCGATTGATTTTGACTTGCTTGGCCAATTCTGTCACGCTTCGTCAGTACCAACTGTGCGCCTATATCGGGTGCGTCTCAAAAATGACCTACTCTTGTAACTTTTTTGTTTTTTTTTCAGATTAAAAAACGAGATTTAGTATGTTAGTATATGACATAAATTAGGATTGATTGACGTATTCAATCTTTTTCTATCACTTCCTGTTTCACCGGAAATGACTACAACTTTTGATTTTTAAATGGCACCCTCGGTATTTTTTTACTTTATTCGATAGAAAATGACACTCTGAATTCCGAATAGAATAACATATCATTATATGTCAATTTTTGACATAGTCGCTCAAAAACAAATTGTCTTTTAAATTTCAATCTAGAGTGCCATGGCTGTGTTAAAAACACTAATTTTTAATCAAGGACCCTTGGAAAAATAGATTTGATCGTTTAATCTTTTTAGTGTCTTATCCTGGCCGGTTAAAAGATGCCTAAATCGTATTTTTAATCGTGGCTCATTAGCATATTTGGAAAAAGCATTTTTTACGTATAATTTGGTACCACACACTTGGTATTTCGAGTCAAATTGTCGTTATAAACGGCACTTTACAATTTCAAATAAACCATATGCGAAAATGTCAACAGTTGACATATGATATGTCATTCTATTCAGAGTGTCATTTTCTATCGAATAAAGTAAAAAAACACCGAGGGTGCCATTTAAAAATCCAAAGTTGTAGTCATTTCCGGTGAAACCGGAAGAGACACCGAAAACAATTGAATATGTCAATCAATCCTAATTTATGTCATATACTAACATACCAAATCTTGTTGGTTTATCTGAAAAAATAAAAAGTTATAGGGGTGAGCCACTTTTGAGACACATCCGGTATAAACGATCAATTTGTAGATAATAGTAGTTTTAATCATCTGCTGATGATGCTGTTATCCTTATTTTATTATGGGGAATCAGTCCCTGAAACTTGGTCATGTATTTCTCTAATACCATAGCAAAGATTAGCGCCAAAATCCCAACCTGATATGAACCTTTTTTGGTACATTGTGCCATCCTGTATAGTCTCTCTGTGATTTTGTCCAAAAATATCGGACGAACCAAAAAAAAAATGACTAGCATAAGCAGCGTGATAGCATGTTACGTCCATCAATCGTGGCCATGGTGGCGTATTCGACGGTATGGATGCTGATCCGTCGACGGGACGATAATCTTCCGCGAGTGTGGGAATTCTGAAAAGAGTCACGATCAACGAGGACGATCGAGAGGCTGAGCTGGGACCCTCAGTCGGCGACTACCCGTCCGCCGTAGCGATTGGGGCCCCCGTTTCGGGACGCCACTGACATTTACCCGATTAGTTTGCGCGCTTTTCCGAATTTCCGGTACCAGTGATCACAGTGGCATTTTTTTAAATAAATATGGGTAAGTACACTTTTTGTTATTTTACCAACTACATGTTTTAAAATACTATTACGATCTAAAAAAAACGGTGTCAGAGTTGGCATTTTGTATGTAAAAATATATGGTAAATGTCACGGATTATTATTTCAAACCAGTTTGACGCGGTTTTTTTGGCCGTATACGTACTAACAACTGAAATAAAATTACTTCTGTTTATTTCAAAAATAACGTTATTAAACTACTATAGGAGCAAAAAACAGCGTCACGGTAGCCTCTTTAATATGACAATCGAAGCTAAATTCTGGCGTATAGACCTCTACAGGTACATATATTATTTATTAATATAAAAATTGTCAATAAATTCTGTGGTGTAGATATTATCTATTAACATATTATTAACAAAAAAATATTTTTTCTTGAAACTTTTTACTTTTCTGTAAATTAAATATTAATTTTTGTCAATTTTTCATGACAATTTTTGATAAATGACATTTGTATACAGATCGGCCCGTCCGAAACTATCATCAATTTATCGTTTTAAAAGCCACTCTGACACCATTTTTTTTTATTACACGATACAACACGATTAAATACTAAATAAACGTATAGCAAAAAAAGCATTAAATTGGCTTGTAAACAACGATCGATGACATTTGCCATATAATTTTACATATAGGATGATAGAGGTCGTCGTTTCCAAGCCAAGTCCACGCAGTTTTTTTAACCGTGTGGTACAGGGCGAGTCTTAAATAAGTGCAAATATTTTCAGGGTTGGTAGTTCTCGATAAAAGAAACATATTTTCTGTTTACCGTTTTTCAAATAAGTCCAAAATAAACGAGTTATTTTACATTGAAAATTTTATAAAAAATAATGATATTTTGCTTAAATTTTGAGAACCACTGGATCTTTTTTGTTTTTTTTTTCGAAAAAAAACACATTATAATCGTGTTTCTGGGGCCTACACCCTGTATTTCTCCATCCGTAATATTTTTAAAACAATAACTTTTGTGTTAGAATATATTTGAATCATCCTGTATAATCATGAACCTAATTTTAAGCTTGCGCCACTATTGTCTACATGCTTTATAAAATGCATTGAAGTAAAAATCTCATACAGAAAACTAATATGATGCTTTTTCCAAACAATGGTTCGCTCTGTATAAATTTCGACCATTAAACTAGGAAAGAATAGTGTTCCCAATTCCATCGGTCACAAGAAAACATTAGAACGTCTCTAGATATTTTCCTGGGCTCTTTTTTCGATATTTTAATTGAAAAATTCCAGTATTTTACGACCATTCTAGCAGTGGCGTAGGAGCTAGGTTATCAAAGGCGACGCGACGGGACTAAAAAACTGAGGCTCTATAAACTGTATTCATATAAAAACATAATATATTGTAACTTTAAAGTATTTTTTCTACGACTAGCCCAGAAAATGCAGTTGAACACACGGAAAACTCGATCTGAAATTGGCGTTTTGCAAACTGTTGCGTGCTAAGGATTTAGCGCACGACATGTGTCATTTTGCACACGACATGTGCCAATTTTAACATTTTTAACCTTCAACGCAGCCGTCAGAAAAGTGTCATCATTACATCGCAAATTATTTCACAAAACTGGCAAAAACTGTGTGAGTCTGCTGCTAATTTGTAGTCGTAGAAAAAATAGCGTAAAAAACTCGTTTGAAAACTTCTTTGTACACTCGTTCGACTTGTGGCTCTTGCCTGTTGCCTACGGCTACAAAACATCCCCCTTTAGAACTTTTTCTTTAATGGCAACGATGGCAATAAGCGGGAGTAAAAGCCCAACCGCCCGAACAAACACTAGAGGCGCCACCGGTCATCCAATGGTGTAAAAATTGCGAAAATTTAATCATCTAATTTTGACACAAGGGGTCGCGCTTAACTTTTTCAATTTTAATTCAATATTCATTGTTTTCAAACTATATTATTAGACCTCCTTCTGCGCATACGCATCACAGTTCTAAGACGGTTCAGAATCGGTAATAACAGGAAAACGAAAAAAGCTAAAGTTAGTTATTGTCCTACGGGATACCTACTGATACTCTGTGCGAGCTCCCAACCGTGCTTCACTGTTCACTCCCAACCAAGTTAGATAAAGATACTGAAGATTGCAGCCTTGAGTTGGAGTATGGCAAGGAGTATGGAGTTAAATAAATTATTATGTTCTTACACAGTATATTATTTATAGTTTTTAATGCTTTAAAGTCTAATAATAAATTTTCGCTGTCAACAAAATAAACTAAAAAAACTACGAAGATTTCTTACTATAAACTTGAAAGATTAAGATTCGGTTCAAATATACATTTAGATTTTTGGCGCCAGTATATAGGTATGAATGCAACCTACTATATCGATAATGCGCTCGTAGTTCGGGTTAGACGCCAAAGGCCGCGCCACTAACACAGTCTTCAAAAATTAACGTGATCGGTCCAGTGCCTTCTATTAAAAGATCTTTTAATAGAAGGCACTGATCGGTCTCTCTCACTTTAGTTATTAGTGTTCTCTCTGGTTATTGTCAAAAGTAGTTAAAATCATATTAAAATTTACAAGTTATAATTAGATATTTTATATTATTTCAACAACAAACACATAATAGTACAGCGTAATGTTGATATGCAGGTCCAAAATAAAAAGTGCCGTTATATTTTTCAGTTTTCGTTGTCAGCCGGGGAAGTTTCAGTGATTTTAGTGTTGTCGGATATTTTTATTTGTGAAATAGAAATATTGCGTTTGGATTGCCAAACTAAAAGTGGAAGTTTTATTGCAATGTAAGTAAGCGTTTGTTCATTTTATATTTTAATTTTTTCATACCTACGACAAATATACATATATTGAAATTTTATAATTCGTTTTATTTAAGAAATGTTAGAAAACAAGCTTGTAATCCTGTAATTGACATAATTGTTATGTAATAATATTCCATTTAAATGTAATATTTTACTTTACAATTAAAAAAAAGTAAATTTAAAAAATATATTAAAAATATATACAGGCATTAATTGAAATTTTTTGAGTGCGAACAAACACGAGAGGCGCTTTATTATTTACTTTCGTTCCTTAACATGACAGAAGAAGTTCTAAAGGGGGATGTTTTGTGCCTGCGGCTCAAGCCAATAAACTGTCTCGCTCGTGTGCCATAGCTCGTGTGCAAAACGTCGTTTTCGAAACTCGTTGTTTAATATATTATTTAGGGCTCCTATTTTATCATCAGAATTTTTACTAAAAAATAAAACTAATTGAAGGGTCTATAGGGGAAAAACTTGATAAGCACCAATTTCTTAATTTTAAGATTTTGCAATATTATAATAGGTCTAACTGGTCCCTACAAAATGTATAAACTCAGGCAGAAACTCTGCAGGACAATTAGTTGTTAAATCCTATGATATATGCCTAGTAAAATTCTAGAATACACGGAAAGAACCTGATAAAATGGCGCTTATCACTTATCATGTTTTTCCCCTGATGGATCCTTCCTTATCACTAGATCTCTGGTTCAATTATTAAACGAGTTATCATTACGCTCATTGACAGGCAACATTGTCCCAATTTTAGCCATTCTGTATCTCTTACCGTTCCCAAGATCCCAATGGGATGTGAGTCGAATTTTATGTTATACAGGGTCCGGCAATAGTGCGTCGGGCATCTGTAGTAGCTCCTAGAATAAAAAAATTGGGAATTTTGTTTAAGTGTAAACCTAAAGTATGCACGAGGATGTATTTCAGGAAAATATTTTAACTTCTATAGGGTGGCTCAAAAAAAGTGTGAGTGGATCGAGATGATTTTTTTTAAATGGAACATCCTGTATATTATTGGATTTTTGGCTTCCTTTCAGATCACTTTGCATAATCCTAAGATATGAGTAAATATATTTCGATAGTTTCAGAGATATTAATAAATAAATAAAAAAGTATATTTTTTTCAGCCTTTATTAAAAAAATTATCAAAATACAGGAACTGTCCTGAAATCAAAACTATATCAGGTATTTACTTTAGATAGTCTATACTTAGTTTGCTATAAATATCGTAATCTTGAATCATACAGGGTGTTTAAAATTCTTCGTCAAACTTTCTAAAATATAAAATAATTTTTCTTTCTTTTTTTAACCGGAACATCCTGTATATTATTTTTTAATTAGATGGAGAGAAAAATACAAAAATAATTAAATACAAAAATATTATTAAAAAATAATATTTTTGTATTTAAAGTATTTCAAAAATTTTAATGGTTTCACAGACACACGCAGTATTATTTCATAAATATGGCGTTTTCAACGGTAAAATACGAGAGAAAAATCATTGGATGGCTTTGATAAAAATTTACTGTGGAAAATGCCATATGAGATATAAAACCGTAATTATCCGCAAAACCATTAACAATTTTGAAATACTCTAAATACAAAAAACGTTAATTTTTTAATTTACCATCTAGTAAAAAAATAATATACAGGGTGTTACATTAAAAAAAAAACAAGAAAAATTATTTTATATTTTAGTTTGGCGTAGAATTTTGAAGATGTTCAATTATGTATGATTTTCGATTACCATATTTATAGCAAAGTAAGTACAGACCATCTAAAGTAAATACCTAATATAATTTTGATTTCAGGACAGTTCTTGTATTTTTAATATTTTTTTTAAGAAAGGCTGAAAAATATATGTATATATTTTCTATTTATCGAAACTATCGAAATATATTTACTTATCTTAGAATTAGGCAAAGCGATCTGAAAGGAAGCCAAAAATCCAATGATATACAGGGTGTTCCATTTAAAAAAAATCATCTCGATCCACTCACACTTTCTTGAGCCACCCTATAGAAGTTAAAATATTTTCCTAAAATGCATCCTAGTAGGTATGGCTATTGGCTATTCTTTAGGTCTGCACTTCCCAAGTTTTTATTCTAGGAGCTACAGATGCCCGACGCACTATTGCCGAACCTAGTATATATTATGTATTTTTTTTAATTTCAACACCCGGTATAGCCCTTCGATAGTTAC